AACCTGCCACCAGATATTTGAGGACATAATTTTTCTTGCATTGTTGCAAAGCATAGTTAGTAAAATATGGGATAGGTGTATTATTTGGAATTTCGGAGAAAAAAAAAATTACGTTGAAAAATTCGGCCATTATTTAGTATTTTAATACAATTTTTTAATTTTTTTAATTTTTTTAATGTATATAATCTTTTAATCAATAATGTGTGAAAAATACGTGAATTTTACCGGTATTATTCACAGATTTATAAAAAAGAAGGTGAAGAATAAGTACGTAGTATAGTATGTGTATTGTACCTTGGCGTTCAAAAGTCTTCCACCTTGAAGTTGAAGAACAGGAGAAGAAGTTATGGGATCCAGCTTAATAGAAAGCACTTCGCACCCAAAATGAAGAGTGTTACGTGGCAAACTATTTGCCAAAATATCAACGAGATCAGTCCTTTTCAAACATCTCAATTCTTCTTTCCTGTAAATGATTGAGTTCATAATTGATGTAACCATTTTTTTGGGGAAAATCATTGTCATGCTCAATTTATTTATGTTCAAATTGGATGACAATTTCATCATATATAAGGTCACCAATACTTATTTAACAACACTTTAAGTTCTCTTGCATGAAATTTGAACTCATATAAATGACATTAAACCAAATGATTATCAATTTTGGAAAGAGTAGTTAGTTTCTGTTAAATGGTGGATGGAGTCCTTTGTAGACTTCTGATGGAATCTTTCAGGCTCTAAAGGTATCTCTCCCACAGTAGGAGACTCTATATACATGCGGCTCTATCTATATTTGGGAATCTAAATTTTTCTATGTTGTAATTTGGTTGAAATACTTTCTTGTTTTGTAGACTTATTATGTGTTAGTTTTCTTATGAACATTTCAACAATTGGACAAGATTCCGAAAACAACATTTTATTTTATAAACTCTAAAAGTAAAAACAAGTGCCACACTACTTTACTAAATAAAAAAACATTTTATCCCATCTATATGTTAGATAACAATAGTGATAATTGGAGATATGTCTGATTCATTATGGTCTTCCATTCATATCTCATCTACATTCGTCAGATCATAATGGTGGTAGTTGAAGATGAGTCTGCTTGATTATGTTCTAGTATCCCTATTTCATCTGATCAGGTTTATCATCTTACAACAATCAGATCAAATCGTTTCATCTCAATTTCATCCATAGATTTCTTATCTCTTATACCACCATTTCCCCTATAAATATTAAGGCCTCAAAATACCAACCATATTATTTTCAGAACACACTACCCCCATTCCTCTATTCTAAAAATTCATTTCTCAAACCCCAAGACAACAATGTCTGGAGATGGGTATGATGGGCTTTTTGCTTGGGTTGCTACATCTTGCAGCCTGATGGTGGTTCACCTTGATATACAGCCCTCATGGGCTTGCAGAAGTTATGCCAAACTTAACCAATCATGCATATGTGAGAAAATCTTCTTCTCCTTCCTAACTTTGCCTCCAAAAAAAGAAAAATGTAAACAAAATCTTAAGAACTTACCCAACAGGTATTTCTTTAAGCTCGTCATTATTGAGTGAGTGGAATTGTCCCCTGCAAATAAAAAATTGAACATTAAATCATATAGAATAGTTTATCTGTTATAAAAGTATAAGTATGACATTAAATTATTAACGTTGTGGATTGTACACAAAAATGAGAAAGGCAAACTGTAAAAATAAAAATTAAAATATAAAAAATTAAAAATTAAAAATTTTAACTACATTTTAGGGGGGGAGAGAGAGCGAGAGAGAGATTTACGAGAGTATAGGAATAGCAGTTTCTCTAAGGTGAGAGGCAACACCAAGTTGATCAAGTGCACGCCAGCCGTTTGGATGCACGATGATAGCTGCCCCTGTAGCTCGCAATGCGTTTGACCTTTCCAGGACCACGCTTCTAATGCCCTTTCTGCCAAACAAATTAATTTTCAAATATACATCAAAACGATCTAGATAAACGAAGTGTTAGATAAAGAAGAAGAAGAATAAGGTGGTGTAAGAGTAAACCTGTGAAGAGCAAGGGCAGTGGCAAGGCCGCATATCCCACCACCCACGATTACAATATTCTCTTTTGTATCACCAATCTCCATATCTTGCCTTCTATCTTCTATTTTCTGTTTTTGTTTTTTATTTAATCCTTTGGCTTAGAAAAGTAGGTGAGTGTTCATAAGATGCTACCTCAGGCTCCTGGCTAGGCTGCGGTTTAGAGGGCTTTGCTCAATTTCATTTAATAATTCGCAGCAGAAAAACCAAGGACTGGCCAGCATTCTTTGTATGTGGTTCAAACAGTTCGGCTAAGTTCATTTAATAATTCGCACCACAAAAGTCGTATGTTTGAGTTTTGCATACAATCTTTCTTTAATTATCTTGGGATGTGATAAAGTGTATTCACGGCACACCCTTTTGTTGAAAGCCACTTGCAGAATGAGTCAAGGTATGCATGTTCCACCTTATTATAGCTCCTTGGGGACTATTGACAGAAGAGAAATGCTAGCAACCTTCTCTCTAACCTTTTTTTTTGACCTTCTCCATTTTTTGTTTGATATGTGTCATTCTCCAACTTTTGCTAGCAACCTTCACTTAAAACAATATCATTAATATATTATACAAACTAACTTTTGCTTTTCAAGTTTACCCTTAATAATTGTATTCAATTTATCTAACAAAATTTCACAGCTTTATTACCATCTTATTAATTTTTTTTCTAACGTCAATTTTTTTTAAAAAAGAAAATATGTGCTTTTAAGAGGAAATGTCCCGTTTTTTTTATTTTTTTTTAAAAAACACAAAGGGTTTTAGGAAAAAAAAAAAAAAAAAAAAAAAAAAATCCTCCTGTGTTTAAAAAAAAGGGGACATTTCCTCTCTTTTGGAAAAAATATATTTTCTTTTAAAAAAAATAAGATAGTAAGAAAGTTGTAAAAAAAATTTGGATAAATTGAATACATTTAATAAGGGTAAACTTGGAAAGCAAAAGTTAACTTGTATAATATATAAATAACATTGTTTTAAGTGTAAATATAATGACGCATGTCAAGCAAAAAAGGGAGAAGGTCCAAAGAAGAAGGTTAGAGAAAAGGTTGCTAACATTCCCCTTAATAGAAAACCACTCGAAATTAGTTTAACATGTATTTTGCTTCTTTAAGTAAAAGATCATATCTTCAACTACATTCCTCATGCGACAAAATGCTAGCCACGCATTCTTTTGCATCAATCTCTAGAATGATTTAATTATATCCCATGTTAATGGAGTATTTTTGCTCATCACTTTAACTCAAGGTGTAGCATCCTCCTCAAAATTTGACACATGTCAATAGGTATAACTATAGTTAACTTTTTTATTTTTGATGATATTATTATGGGAGAGAAAAATTACAATGCTTTTAATAAAATTTAAAACTAAAAACCAATTATTAAAGAAAAAAAACAAAACTGTAAATAGCCACCACAGCAACCCACCCACCCAACCAACAAACCTAGTCAACCACCTCGGCAACAACCCCTTCCCAACACATCATTTGATGTGTATTCAATGATTTTATCTCTCTGTAAAAAAAAGGGGATATGAAATAATAATTGTGTAGATAGAGTATATTAAAATATTATGTTGTTTTTATTAATATAAGTTGTTTATTATCTTATTTCATGGTCTTACCTCCCACTATTGGTGTTGACAGTTGAAAATATCGATATATCGGTGTATCGGCCGATGTTTCAATCCTTGATGGTGGTTAAGGTGTTGGAGGAGTAAAATGAGAGGGGTTCAAATCCCCTTTGTGTTTTTTTTTCCTCCCTTTTTTCCCTTTTTTTTTTCTTTTTCCCTTTTTTTTTCCTTTACATCGATATTTTCAATATTTTAGAGATATTACACCAATATTTTGACAAAATATTGCTGAAGTGTGAGCTCAATTATCGACATTGATATTTTCCAATATTATCGTCGATATTGTCGATATTTATACGATATGTACATGGACATGTTCCGAAATATCCGTAATTCGGAAAAACTGAAATATCCTCGATATTTCGTCAATATTATCGATATTTCATACTGTGCTCATGATAACAGTGGGAAGTTTTGGGGGTTGGAGGACAATGATATATGGGCTTTGCAGACCTTATTTTATGGATTCCAATTGGATGATTCTCTGACTTTGATAGAACTAAAAGTAGTCAGATTTTTTTGGAGGTATGTGGGTAGTGAATTGCATATTGCCAATTGTCTAACTTCGAAAAGTGAAAAAGAAACAGCCAAAAAAGGAAACAAATATTAAATGAGTGGAAGATAGCATTTCTAGTTAATTTACCTGAATAGCCAAACTTAGATAAAAGCTTTCAATAGTTCAAAGGCCAAACAATAAGCCAAAAAAGAGAACCCCAAAGCAGTCTTCCAAGCATGAAGTAAAGGATCAATTCTTCTTCTAAGTTCTTCTTTTCATGGCTCAAAAAATAGTCACTCACATTCTTTACATTATTAATCATTATTATACTAATATTTTGTGTATCATATAATCTACAAATTTACAAATATAGTGGTTGTGATCAATACATGTTAGACCAAAAGATGGGAAGCCAAGCGAGTGGCATATAAGCTTGAGATAAGACATGTATGTCCCCTCAATTGACTTTGCATGGATTCTTCATAATAATAATTAATGCATACTCCAAAACATCTTTTCAATTGGATATTTCCAAAAGCCTTCACACATACCTAATCACTGCCCACATATCACCAAAAAATCTTTTGGGCTTCAATTTATTTCAAAACTTTTGAATTTTTTTTGGGTTTTGTTGGGTATCGGGAAATATCGAGGATATCGGCAAAACATGGTGGTATTGTTCTTTCTAATATTCCTTCTCCAAATTCAAGGGGAGAGAGAAGCTTAAGATCTAATGGCTATCAGCTTCAACTACTACATTTTACTATTTGCGCGACGAAAATCTCAGTCGCGCAAAGATCATTTGCGTGACAAAAAAATGAGTCGTCGCGCAAAGTGGGGAAGAAAAGCGAGGGGTTTTTTTTGGCGCCAAACCTTTGCGCGACGACAGAGGTGGTCGCGCAAAGAACCTTTGCGCTACAAATTAATTTCTTCGTCGTGCAAAATATGGAACGGAAAACAAGGTGGATTTTTTTTCGCCAAGGCAGATTGCTCCATCAATCAGGAAGGGGAAGATTACGTGCCTACCCCAATGGACAGTACAGAGTTCGAACAATATGAACAACTGTTAAAAAGTGCCAACCAAGAGTTATACCCAGGGTGCGAGAGCTTTTCCGTTCTTACGGCCATTGTGGAGCTAATGCACGGAAAAATAAAGTATCGTATGTCGAACCTGTGTTTCGATTACTTTTTGGGCGTTTTCAAGAGAATGCTTCCGACGGACAATTGTTTGCCCAAAGACCATAGACAAGCGCAAAAGATGTTGAATGGTCTTGGATTGGGTTATGAAAAAATTCATGCTTGCAAAAACAATTGCATGTTATTCTACAAAGAGTATGAAACATTGGATACATGCCTTATATGCAAAGAGTCGAGGTTCAAGATGACATCTCAGAATAGGACGACTAAGATCCCACAGAAAGTCATGCATTATCTGCCCTTGAAACCTAGGCTACATCGATTGTATATATCGACTCATACTGCCACAGACATGAGATGACATAAGGAGAAACAGGTAGACGACGATGTGATGCTGCATCCTGCAGATGGGGAAGCATGGAAAGAGTTCGATCGAACGTTCCCCGACTTTGCTGCTGATCCTCGAAATGTTAGATTGGGACTTGCCACTAACGGATTCAATCCGTACGGGGTTCTAAACAACACCACAGCACTTGGCCGATTTTCGTATTTCCATATAATTTGCCGCCTTGGAAATGCATGAAAAAAGAGTACATGATGATGACTGTTTTGATAACTGAGGATCCTGGCAGGTCAATCGATGTTTACTTACGGCCATTGGTTGATGAGCTCAAGGATTTATGGACAAACGATGTGCGCACATACGATAAAGCCACTAGGAAGATGTTCACTTTGCGGGCAGCAGTGATGTGGACTGTAAATGATTTTCCCGCATATGCAATGGTTTCTGGGTGGAGCACAAATGGTTATATGGCATGCCTTGTATGCAAGGAAAATGTAACTTCTGGTTGGCACGCAGGAAAAGTTTGTTATCATGGTCATCGAAGATGGTTGCCATGGGACCGCGAGTGGCAGGAAAAGGATAAAGAGTTTGACCGGAACACAGAGCATCGCCTCAAACCTAGAGAATGGTCCGGTGATGAGATCTTGGAACAGCTAAACCGTTTGGATTTTTCTCCGTTCGGGAAAACAGTTACTCTGACTAGACCTTCTACACATTTGAATTGGATGCACAAGTCTATGTTTTTTGAGCTCCCATATTGGTCGAAACTAAAATTGAGGCACAATCTTGACGTTATGCATGTTGAGAAAAATGTCTTTGACACATTGCTGGGCACGATTCTAGATATCGATGATAAGACAAAGGACACGATCAAAGCTCGTCTTGATTTGGAAAGAATGAGCATACGAAGAGGTTTATGGATGAACAGGGACGGTGATAAAGTTAGAAGGGATCTAGCATTTTTTGCCATGAAACCGAATGACAAAAAACATTTTCTACAGTTTGTATCGTCAGTAAAGTTTCCCGATGGGTATGCTTCTAATATCGCGCGTTGCGTGAATGTTGACGGGGGTAAATTTACTAGACTGAAGAGCTATGACTGCCATGTGTTTATGCAATGCCTACTTCCTGTGGGTATTCGACACCTTTTGCCAGAAGATGTAGTGAAACCAATCATGTTGTTGTCCAAATTTTTTTCTCAACTGAAGGCAAAAACATTGCGAAAGACAGACATTAATCAGTTGTGCCATGACATTGTCCAAGTCCTATGCAAGTTCGAGATGATATTCCCTCCAGCTTTCTTCACAAGTATGATCCACGTGATGGTTCATTTGCCAGAAAAGGCATTGCTCGCTAGTCCTGTAAACTATCGCTAGATGTATCCAATAGAAAGGTATATAATCCTCATAGTTTGTTTTTATTTTGCTAGGCTTCTCGGAGAGTTGAAAAAAACTGTACGCAACAGGGCAAAACCTGAAGGATCAATTATAGAGGCTTGGGTTCAATATGAGTCGCTTACTTTCTGTGGAATATATTTAAAAGATGTGGACACGGCTTTTAATCGTCCTCAGCGCAATAATGACGAAGGTCTGAGAAATGAGAAACTTTCTGTTTTCGCCCAAAGCGCACGACCCTTTGGAGATCTGGTATGAGGAGAGTCGTTTTCCAGAAATGACATGGAGGTAGCGCATTGGTTCGTACTTAACAATTGTGATGAGATAATGTCATACTTAGATGAGCATGAAGAGATGATGAAGCGAGAACATCCATCACATTTGTATGCCAAGAAACACCGTGATTTGTTTCCAAAATGGTTTTTGGAATATGTAAGTTATAAGTGTTTTGTATTTGTTATATATATATATTGTGTATTATTTAATGTTATCAAACTAACATGTGAATTCATTTGTATAATATTAGGTGAATAAGTTGAAATCATCGAATTCACCCTCTTACAGTGAAGAGTTATATAACTTGGCGTTCGGCCCGATTCGCACTGAATTATTCTCGGGTTGCCGTGTTAATGGCGTCAAGTTTTTGGGGACTGCACGAGATAACAAGTTGTGTACGCAAAACAGTGGTGTCCATGTCCTAGGTGGTGGCGAAAGTACAGACATTGATTTCTATGGCAAACTCACAACTGTCATGCAATTGCTTTACAAAGACCGATACCAAGTGATCATGTTTAAGTGTCGATGGTTTGATACAAACCCAAATAGGCAGGGAAGTGTTAAAATAGACCATGGCTTACTATCAGTGAACATTAACAGAACTTGGTATGATGACGACCCTTACATTTTGGCAAACATGGCAAGACAGATTGTGTATCTAGATGACCCTAAAGCCAGAAGCAGTTGAAAAGTTTCTCAGCAGATGGATCAGAGGAACGTGTATGCTATACCAGAACTAGACCCAACTAACAACGACGTCGACAACGTCATTGACCAACGGTTGGAATCTTCCATGGAAACTGATGCAGAAACACTTCGAGATGCAAATGTTATACAAGAACCGTTTCAGCTTCAAGGAGTGTCTTCAATCGAAATACCGATTCAGTCAATTACAATTGACCTCGGTGATCTTCCGTGCTACGAAGTTCCAGTGGGCCCGAACAACGAAAGTGATGAGGAGGAGGATTGGGAGACCGAAACTGATGATAGTGAGGATAACAAAAGTTACTATAGTTCAGATGATGAATAATGCAATTCATTAGCGACTACCCATGTAAAACATAGTAAATGAAATTTGTTGTAATTTAATTATGGTAGTGTAAATATGGCAATCACAAATTAAAATGAAGTTGCACACAAAATTTGCAATCACAAATTAAATTCCAACATATAATATATAAATTAAAATTTAGATATATACATAAATTTGAAAACATATTTGAATATAACACATATATACCTATATTTGAATATACCTATATTTGAATATATCTATTTGATTTTCAATTGCCATTTATGAATATAAGAATTACGGTTTTCTCTTTTTTGTGTTTAAAATCGTCAAATTGAATGAATACCACATGTAGATGATTTTTTTCATTTTTGGTTTTGTTTGAAGGATATTATAATATTAAACACTATTGTTATAAATTTATTGTAGAACCATGTATATATATACATATAATTTAATCACATAAATTATGTTAAATTTATTTTATCATAATTGATGTTAACATTTTAATCTAACTTACACCTTTCACCCAAAGAAGAGTATATATTTTTTGCCAATAGTCTTAAGTTAATATACTCCTCTGTTAAAATTAATCTACTGGAAAAAAATTTGAGATTTTTGTAGAGAATAACATGTTAACATTTTATTTTTATTTTTCCAATAGTGTTAAATTAATATACTCCTATGTTTAGCATATGAATATATGAATACTGACATAAAACATATATAACACCTATAAACAAAAAACAATGTAATTATAATTAATTTTCGGAATTTTCAGAATTTCTGGCAGAAATACAATCTTGCGCGACGAAACAAAAACTTATTTGTCTCGCAAAGTGCACAGAACTTGCGCGACGAAAAATGGTATATTCGTCGCGCAATCTCATTTAGCCCTTTTACAAATACAGAACACTTAGCATAAATTTTTGCGAGAGGTTTGCACAGAACAAAGACTTGCGCGACGAATACACGCTGTTCATCGCGCATTCTAAACCCTAAACCCCACGATACACTTGGTTGAAATTTATTATCTTTGCGCGACGAATATAGTACCTCTTCGTCCCGCAAGCTGCCATCTCAAAGGCTTGCGCGACGAAAACTTCAATATTTCATCGCACAATGTCATTCAATTCTTTTAAAATTGTGTAAAATGTGGATAAAGTGATCAAAAAATAGTACCATGTTTGTTTCATTTAATTCTAGTATTAGATGAGATTGCTAATACCGGGCCCACCAAAAACACCTCCTTAGGAGGGGACTACTAATCCCATGTTTAAAGGGAGGGTTAACTAGTCCTATGTTCAAAATGTATAAGTTGCATATATTATATTGTAATACTAATAACATATATTACTATTATTATTATTATTACTACATACACATATACTATAATGTACATATATACACGTATATACACATATATATGTGTATATATATAAACACATATATACATATATACATATATAATATATATAAATACATATAGATATACACGTATATTATTATTATAATATACCCATATATACATACATATTAATATTATAATAATAGCATACATGTATATATGTAATATATATTATATTATATATTAATGTACATATATACACGTATATACACATATACATACATATATATAAACACATATATACATATATAATATATATAAATACATATGGATACATACACGTATATTATTATTATAATATACCCATATACACATACATATTAATATTATAATAATAGCATACATGTATATATGTAATATATATTATATATTATAATACATATATACGTATATATACATATATGTGTATATATATTATACCCATGTATGTATTATAATATACATATACACATGTATATACACATATATATTATATATTATAATATACATATATACATGTATATTATTATTATTATTATAACATACCCATATATATTATCTATTATAGTATACATATATATATATATATATGTATATGTATTATACCCATGTATATATTATACTATATAGATACACCTATATACACATATATTATATACATGTATATACGTATATACATGTACATTATAATATATAATATACATGTATATATGTATATATATGGATATTATAATATATAATATATACATATGTATTTTATAATATAAATAATATATGTATATATACATACATATATAATACATATATACACGTATATACATGTATATTATTATTATTATAACATGCCCATATATATTATATATTATAATATACGTAAATATATATATAAATATATGTATATGTATTATACCCATGTATATTATAATATACATATATACACCTATATACACATATATATATGTTTACATTATTTATAATATATAATATACATGTATACATGTATATACCCATATATTATATATTATAATATACGTACATATATATAAATATATGTATATGTATTATACCCATGTATATTGTAATATACATATATACACCTATATACACATATATATGTGTTTATATTATTTATAATATATAATATACATGTATACATGTATATACACATATATGTTATGTATATATATATTATATGTATGTATATACACATATATTATATATTTTATAAACTACATATATACATATATATATATATATATCTTTTTGAAAAAATAAAAAAAATCTAGTCCTAGTCCAAGCATGCACCAAACGCAGGATAAGTGTTATCCAACTTAGACCAAGCCAAGCCAAGCCAAGCCAAGACAGTCCCTAAGCATAGTCCATGCCAAGACAGTCTTATGTAACAAACGAGCCCTAAAATTTCTGGCGGCATAACAAGCTTGCGCGACGAATATGTTACTTATCCGTCGCGCAAGGTTGCCATACCTTTCAATAAACCCTAAAAATTCTGGCGGCATAACAAGCTTGAGCGACGGTTTTGCACCTCGTCGCGCAAGGTCTTCAAAATTTTGGCGGAAAACAACCTTGCGCGATGGTTTTTTTTATTTTTCTGTCGCGCAAGGTTCATTAAAACGGAGTATTCGCGACGCATTGTGTCCTTCGTCGCGCAAGATCCGACAAATTTTCAGAAAAATCGCGACAGCCTCCTTTCTTCCTCACTTCCTCTCTCTGCCCTAAACACCCTCACTCTCCGCCGTCACCCCAGCCCAGTGCTCCGCCGGAAAAAGGACCGAGCTGCCACCATCGTCGAAGCCCAGAGATTCCCCCGTCGTCGCTGTCGAAGATTCCGCAGGAAAAGGCTTCGTTTGGCAAATTCTGCGCCGCCTGTTTTCTCTCTCCTCCAGCCACCAATTCCGACGCCTGAGGTACAGTTTCTGGACTACTTCTCGTGCTCTAGCTGATGGTTGATTAGGATTTGGATAATTGTGTGAATAGGTGTCTCGAATTTAAACCCTAGGTTTTGGCCGGTTTTTTAATTTAAATTTCGGCTACTTCCGGCCATTTTTTAGGGTAGGTCCGAGAACAAAAGTGCCTCTAAATGATGTTCTGAACCTAGGGTAGGAACCTTGGCCCTTAGTTTTTAGAAATTTCCGACGATTGTTATCGCTTTGGACACCCATGCGCTGCCGGCGCGTGTGGTGGCGCGTGGGGACTATGGCAATGGGGCATTGGGTCCCAGAGCAATCCCCTATTTGTCACGAGCACGTAGGTGTGCTCGGATTTTAATTTGGTTACCGTTTCAGTCTCGAACGGATTTCGCCTATTGTGCGATTTCCAGATTTGATATGTTCGGACCGTTGGATCGAACTCAAACTCATGTATGTTGTACCTTGTATTTCTAGGATCGTGTAGGATTCGACGGATTGTAGATCAGAGTCCCGGATACTCCAAAATTGCAAACCCTAGGTTATTCTTGTAATTAATTATTTAAAATTGTTAATGAAATTTTATAACTTATATATTCTAAATTCTATTAATGTGTGTGTGTACCCTTTGGAAATTGTGCAGATGTCAGATCTGATTAGACGTCGTAGGTTGATGACGACTACACCAAGTTCGAAGCCCCCGGCTCGGTCGGCATCTGCTGCCACTGCTCCAGCATTGATGGACCAACTGCCAGGGGTGTCCCAGGTGCCTGCGTCATCCGCTTCATCAATGGCGCAACTTGTTAGCGCTAGGCGGCAGCACCGGCCCGCAAGCACCACCGGCACGACGTCGACCGACGGTACTGTTGCCTCGGGGTCACAGCCAGGTATAGATATCCCTTCAACTGTAGTTCTTTTTTTAATTTTTTATATTCTGAATTTTATAGTTAAATTTGTTATTTATTGAACATTATTGTCATATCTCATTGCAGCCAAGAAGAACACCCGAGGGCCGTGTCAGCAACTGTAGACGGCGAAGGTCACCCGGGTGAGCAACAGTCGTATCAGCATCGGATACGACAAGCGCCATCAGGCTGCACCGACAGCGGAGTTGCATAGCTCCTTGGCCCATGACATTGGCCACGTCGTTCGGACCCATTGCCCGATGCACTGGAAGTTTTGGAAGGTCGTGCCTGACGAGATCAAGATGGAGGTTCGCGGCCAGTTGTCGGTATGTATCCTACCTTGTAATTATTTTTCTTTCAAATTTTATATATTTCTATTACTTAATGTATGTAAGTAATTTATTGCAGACGAACTATAACTTAGAGGACCTCAACAAGGAGTCGTTGGCGTACGTCAACAGACTCTTCGGTGAGAGGTACAAGCAGTGGAAGAGCGACTTGCACCACCATTTTCAGGCGTTTGATGATCCGGAAGTCGCTCTTCGAGAGGGTTGCCCGAAGGAGCTTGAGGGGCGGGAGGATAGTTGGGCATGGCTCTGCACTCATTTTCAGGCGCCCGATTATGTGGTATTTGTTTAATTATTTCATATTTTTTATTACTGTTTATTTCATATTTTATATTTCATTATTATTTAATTTTTTATATTTAAACTAATATGTTTTATTTTTTGTATAACAGAATAAAACCCAAGTGAATAAGGGCAATAGGAAAAAGAAGACTCTTCTCCACCATTCCGGCTCCAGGCCCTTCTCATATAGGATGGATGCACGGCGGCGGGTAATAATAATATCATTTCTATTTAATTTTAATATGTCATTAGTATTAATTTATTTTGTTCATACTAATATTTTTCTTCTCTTATTCAATTTAGGGGGTGTCGAAATTCCCAGAGATCGACGTCTTTGGTGACGTTTATGTTCAACCTGGGAATGAGTTGGCCGAGTCCCTTCATGTAAGTATTATTTTTTTTTAATTTTTATGTTACGCATTCAATTTATATAAATGTTTTAATTTATATTTTATGTTATGTTAAACAGACGACGATGGTGGAGAGGAGCCAGTTGGTTCTTCAGGGATCTGCCTCCCAACTTCCTCCCGAGACTCCGATCGAGTCTGTGGATCCTCCACATGATGCTGGATTTCAAATCTTGACGAAGACGTTGGATCAGACTCTCGGGAGGAGACCAGGAACATATTGTAGAGGGATAGGGAATGCCCGATAGAGGGAACCTCGACCTCGGTCATCATCGCAGTCAAACAGTTAGGTGACTGTTTTGACATCGCGGGTTGCCGAGCTTGAGGGTCAGATGTCGGTGATTCTGCAGTCCCTCGCGCGGTCAAGCATTCCAATCCCAAAGTTTGGTGCGTCGACATCCGAGACTGTCCACCCCGAGCATCCCCAGCAGACCACGGCCCCTGTAGACCCCCAGATCCCCGAGCCGCATATGCATGACGACCATGTAGATTTTGGAACATTATTTGATTAGTTTATAATTTTCATAATTATTTTTTAAATATTTCTCTTGTAATCTACATTTATTTTATTTTATATAATAAATGTATTCTTTACAATTCATTTTTGGATTGCAATTTCATTTATTACCAAAAAAAAACCAAATTTATTTTTTTACAAAATAAAAAAAAATGTAATATTAATTTTAAATAATATGTATAAATTTTGCGTGACGAAATATTTCTCGTCGCTCAAACTCACTTAAAAAAAAACCGTGAAAATAATAATTCATACACTTTAATTTATGCTTGCGCTACGAATGTTTTCGTCGCGCAAAGTATGCGCGACAGATTATTTTTCGTCGCGCAAGGTTTGCACGACGAAGAGTCCTTCGTTGCACCAATTTAGCGCGACAAAGTACTTTCGTCGTGCAAAATAGTGCGATACTAATCTTGCGCTACAACTTTTCCGTCGCGCAAAAATTCGTGTGTCGCACCCTCGTTTTGTCCCTACAACTTTTCTGCAACAAAGGTGCAACGTCGCACCGTTTTGCGCGACGAAGTCAATTATTTGGTCGTGCAAAGTCTTTCTTCACGATCTTTGCGCGACGAATCTTCTGTCGCGCATAATTATGTGCGACGAAAGTCCCTTCGTCACGCAAAGTGTAAAATGTAGTAGTGTTCCTATTATTCTATGTTCAAAAAAGGTCAGCTTCCTATTATTCTTCCTTCTATTTCTTATTAATCTGAACTTTAAACTTAGTTATGATGTATCTGAATATGGCCCTAATCAAGGTGGCTGACTAACGAGTTAATTGGAATTTTTTGTTTCATATCTTGTCCTCTTTCTTTTCTGGTTTGTTGTGGTGCTTCAATGTTGTCAATATTTATACATTTAATATATTTCATGCAATTAATTGATTGTCACTGGTGTTTTATAAGTACCGATAATTGCTTCTGCCGTCTATGCTTTGCTTTCATCAGCCATCCTACTTCATATTTTTTCGTTTCTTCTACATACATATTATTGCTAATTATTCTCATTTATGTGTATGCCACAACCATTTATCTTTATTTTATAGAGATTCTTAATCAGTGATTGGTTCTCTTCATATATTTTATTGTATTCGGCATTTCAGTTTCTACTGCATAAAAAATTGTAGGTGACAAACAGATGGCATATAGGTGTCAAGTTTCTGATGAAACAAATTTTCGTAAGGTTGATGGGTTAATAGTTTGCGCAAAACATTTCATATTACATTATTTTATATGTTGTATCGACTACATATATATTAATACAACAATGTATTTTGTAGTGCTTTGGAACTTGCTCACCTATTTTATGTCATACGCTATAACAGTAATAATTATCCTTTATAATTTGTATGATCCCTCAAAAGATGGGAAAGGATGAGGGATATTACCAAAGCATTGCAAGTTTGAATTATGATCGGGAAGCCGTTTCATCACAATCGTAATTATGTATTTGAGAGAGTAGGAATCATGCTTTATGGGAAGCACAGTTTCTACAGCAAATTGGCAAAAATAATTAAGGTAGGGGTCCCTGCCTGTTGTTCTAACCTTAATACACCCTGGAAACTTGAAAGTTGACATACCATCTTATTTCATCTTGGCTTATTTAGTTTGTTTTAGGAGCAACTTCTCTTGGGGCTGTTGCCATCTGCTCCTTCCATTTCCAGATAAAGGTACTTCCTCTCTTCCTGCAATTAAGATTCCATAGATCCCAGTTTCCACAAAAATGAGTGAAGATGTATAAAATTACCGTTTCTTTAGCAGCATATGTAGTGGATTTGTTGTGTGCATATGTAATATTGTAGGATACAAAATAATGTAGTTTTGTAATTTATAATTCCAATTTCAAATTTTTAAGAGCTTGGTTGTGTCAAGTATAAGTTATGCTACATACATATAAGTTTCCTTGTAGTTGTCAAACATGTAAGAATGAAAATATTATATTTTTTAAAATTACACCCATGCCTTTTGAACTTTTATCTGTGTCTTACTTGGGTGCTTAAGAAAAATACCTTCTAAAGTTGTTTTAAAAAATCACCCTTGTTGCCAATGGGGCTAGCTCAGTGGAAAAAGACATCGACTTGCAAACCAGAGGTCTCAAGTTCGAACCCCCATGGTATTTTAAAAACATTTTTAGTTCAACGAAGAAAACTTCAGGAAAAGTAATCACTATGGGCTCGTTTGGGAGTGCTTCTTCTCGAAGCGCTTATGTCAGTAGCCCTTATGCCATTAGCACTTATGACATAAGCGCTTCTACAAAGGGTTTAGATAGGAAAAAAAAAGAGGGGACATTTCCTCTTTTGGAAAAAGCATATATTTTCTTTAAAAAAATAATTGATGTTTAAAAAAAAAGATAGTAAGAAAGTTGTAAAATTTTTTTGAATAAATTGAATACATTTAATAAGGGTAAACTTGGAAAGCAAAAGTTAACTTGTATAATATATTAATAACATTGTTTTAAGTGTAAATAGAATGACACATGTCAAGCAAAAAATGGAGAAGGGCCAAAGAAGAAGGTTAGAGAGAAGGTTGCTAGCATTCCCCTTAACAGAAAACCACTCGAAATTAGTTTAACATGTATTTTGCTTCTTTAAGTAAAAGATCATATCTTCAACTGCATTCCTCATGCGAGAAAATGCTAGCCACGCATTCTTTTGCATCAATCTCTAGAATGATTTAATTATATCACATGTTAATGGAGTATTTTTGCTCATCACTTTAACTCAAGGTGTAGCATCCTCCTCAAAATTTGACACATGTCAATAGGTATAACTATAGTTAATTTTTTTATTTTTGATGATATTATTATGGGAAAAAGAAAAATTACAATGCTTTTAATAAAATTTAAAACTAAAAACCAATTATTAAAGAAAAAAAACAAAACTGTAAATAGCCACCACAGCAACCCACCCACCCAACCAACAAACCTAGTCAACCACCTCGGCAACAACCCCTTCCCAACACATCATTTGATGTGTATTCAATGATTTTATCTCTCTGTAAAAAAAAGGGGATATGAAATAATAATTGTGTAGATAGAGTATATTAAAATATTATGTTGTTTTTATTAATATAAGTTGTTTATTATCTTATTTCATGGTCTTACCTCCCACTATTGGTGTTGACAGTTGAAAATATCGATATATCGGTGTATCAGCCGATGTTTCAATCCTTGATGGTGGTTAAGGTGTTGGAGGAGTAAAATGAGAGGGGTTCAAATCCCCTTTGTGTTTTTTTTTCCTCCCTTTTTTCCCTTTTTTTTTCTTTTTCCTTTTTTTTTCCTTTACATCGATATTTTCAATATTTTAGAGATATTACACCAATATTTTGACAAAATATTGCTGAAGTGTGAGCTCAATTATCGACATTGATATTTTCCAATATTATCGTCGATATTGTCGATATTTATACGATATGTACATGGACATGTTCCGAAATATCCGTAATTCGAAAAAACTGAAATATCCTCGATATTTCGTCAATATTATCGATATTTCATACTGTGCTCGTTATAACAGTGGGAAGTTTTGGGGGTTGGAGGACAATGATATATGGGCTTTGCAGACTTTATTTTATGGATTCCAATTGAATGATTCTCTGACTTTGATAGAACTAAAAGTAGTCAGATTTTTTTGGAGGTATGTGGGTAGTGAATTGCATATTGCCAATTGTCTAACTTCGAAAAGTGAAAAAGAAACAGCCAAAAAAGGAAACAAATATTAAATGAGTGGAAGATAGCATTTCTAGTTAATTTACCTGAATAGCCAAACTTAGATAAAAGCTTTCAATAGTTCAAAGGCCAAACAATAAGCCAAAAAAGAGAACCCCAAAGCAGTCTTCCAAGCATGAAGTAAAGGATCAATTCTTCTTCTAAGTTCTTCTTTTCATGGCTCAAAAAATAGTCACTCACATTCTTTACATTATTAATCATTATTATACTAATATTTTGTGTATCATATAATCTACAAATTTACAAATATAGTGGTTGTGATCAATACATGTTAGACCAAAAGATGGGAAGCCAAGCGAGTGGCATATAAGCTTGAGATAAGACATGTATGTCCCCTCAATTGACTTTGCATGGATTCTTCATAATAATAATTAATGCATACTCCAAAACATCTTTTCAATTGGATATTTCCAAAAGCCTTCACACATACCTAATCACTGCCCACATATCACCAAAAAATCTTTTGGGCTTCAATTTGTTTCAAAACTTTTAGGGAGAGAAACCCAATAGGCCACGAATATTAAACTTCCTATTGCACCACAACCTATCATCAATAAGAGATTTGATTCACCTTGGACTCAAAGTAATGACGCCTCTCTTTAAACCAAATTAACTAAGAGGTAAGCAATGTGCAAAGTCACAATAGGAAAAGATAATATTTTAACTTCAATTAAAATAGAGTTGAACTAGGAAAGTAATCTCAAGAGATAAAATCTAATCTTATTAAAAATAAGATTAAGATAAAAATACTTTGAGTGAAAATAACTCAAACTAGGAATCCTATAATGAATGCATGATTATGTCATGATTTACCTGAAATCAGATTCCTCATATCGGTCAAGTCATGCTTTGGAAACCTGAGATTGAATGTGTTGCGCCAAAACGTCTAGTAAACGATATTCACACACTAACTCCCAACCTATGCTAGAGTCTAGGAAATGACAATACAAATTTCATACTAACAGTTTGGACAAAGAGAAGGTTTCTTTGGGAGCCATTGTTACTGAGGATGAAATTAGGACATCGCGTCACTTGAGGCAATGCGCCTCTGAGCAAAAGATACCAGTGATGGTCAGTAATTCTTAATTTCTTTTAGAAGTGTTTTGGATTCCTGTTTATGGCTTATACAAAAGCTCAAAGAGCACCGAACATTTCGAAAAAGCAATTGTGACAAATCTCTTGCTTTCACAATGATGTGCTCACATGCTCTTTTCCCATAATAATAAACTTCAACCCTTTCTGATTTGAGTAAGCATCTGTTGCAGCCAGCTAGCTGGATCATAAAAAGCTTGCATTCAGGAAAGCTCCTTCCATTTCCTGATAAAGGTACTTCCTCTCTTCCTGCAATTAAGATTCCATAGATCCCAGTTTCCACAAAAATGAGTGAAGATGTATAAAATTACCGTTTCTTTAGCAGCATATGTAGTGGATTTGTTGTGTGCATATGTAATATTGTAGGATACAAAATAATGTAGTTTTGTAATTTATAATTCCAATTTCAAATTTTTAAGAGCTTGGTTGTGTCAAGTATAAGTTATGCTACATACATATAAGTTTCCTTGTAGTTGTCAAACATGTAAGAATGAAAATATTATATTTTTTAAAATTACACCCATGCCTTTTGAACTTTTATCTGTGTCTTACTTGGGTGCTTAAGAAAAATACCTTCTAAAGTTGTTTTAAAAAATCACCCTTGTTGCCAATGGGGCTAGCTCAGTGGAAAAAGACATCGACTTGCAAACCAGAGGTCTCAAGTTCGAACCCCCATGGTATTTTAAAAACATTTTTAGTTCAACGAAGAAAACTTCAGGAAAAGTAATCACTATAACTATATACTATGATATCACCATAACTATAATAACTATATTGTGCTACATCCATATAAGTTTCCTTGTAGTTATTTATATAATAACTATAAATATATAATAGGAAAGTGGCATCTTTATATTAATTGATTCACAAATAATTAAACTTAAAGCAGAGCCATATATGCATGCATATCTTAGAGGCTACCACAGTCATAGCGGGTGTGGCCATGTGAGTCACTGAAAAGGACGGCCAGGAGGATAATGCATATGAATTTAACAAACTGTGATGAAGCATGAAGCATTTCCCCAATCAGGTACATCTGCAGAGACAGTCTCAGAATTCGCATCTTACGTTCTTTCAGGTATTCATCAAATGCTTCCTCCACCTGCATTTTAGTTCCTCTTGCGTTTCGATCGATGTGAGTTGCTCGAGCCAAGCACCGGGCAAGAACAATTGCATCTTCCAGACAAGCTGAACCTCCTTGTGCAAGAAATGGACCCATTGCATGCATGGCATCTCCTGCTAGGACCTCCTTGTGCAAGAAAAAGATATAAACAAACAGATTATGATGCTCCTAATTTTATTTTTCCTGCTGACCTTATCGCAAAAAGGACTTTGTTTTTCAGACTACATTAGTGAACTATTTTCTTTTTGTTGACATGAGAATATTCTAAATTACCGTAATGCACAGAAAATGAGGAATCGTACTCACATGTAATTATTCTTTACAAAATAATGTGGTTAGTGTGGCCTAAAATATGACCCCTTTGGTATTATTTTGGGTATAAGTTACCTTGACCAGTATAACATTGAACAAAATTACCTTGACCGGTATGTTTTCGAGTGATGAACCAATAAACTAGGTTTTCGGTCATTGGCAGCTGTCCCACCCGAGTAATCATCTTTTTGGTTATTCTGAACTGAGAGCCGAGTTCATGCCCATTTGGATAACTCGTGAAGCCTCTTATCACACTGATGGTGAAAATTTTCTTAGCCCTCACCCCCATCATATTTGATATGGCAGAGTTCACTCCGTCGCATACAATCACAACCTGCCACCAGATATTTGAGGACATAATTTTTCTTGCATTGTTGCAAAGCATAGTTAGTAAAATATGGGATAGGTGTATTATTTGGAATTTTGGAGAAAAAAAAATACGTTGAAAAATTCGGCCATTATTTATATTTTAATATATTTTATTAATTTTTTATTAATTTTTTTAATGTATATAATCTTTTAATCAATAATGTGTGAAAAATACGTGAATTTTACCGGTATTATTCACGGATTTATAAAAAAGAAGGTGAAGAATAAGTACGTAGTATAGTATGTGTATTGTACCTTGGCGTTCAAAAGTCTTCCACCTTGAAGTTGAAGAACAGGAGAAGAAGTTATGGGATCCAGCTTAATAGAAAGCACTTCGCACCCAAAATGAAGAGTGTTACGTGGCAAACTATTTGCCAAAATATCAACGAGATCAGTCCTTTTCAAACATCTCAATTCTTCTTTCCTGTAAGTGATTGAGTTCATAATTGATGTAACCATTTTTTTTGGGGAAAATCATTGTCATGCTCAATTTATTTATGTTCAAATTGGGTGACAATTTCATCATATATAAGGTCACCAATACTTATTTAACAACACTTTAAGTTCTCTTGCATGAAATTTGAACTCATAATCTACTTTGACACAACGAAAAATAAATGCCATTAAACCAAATGATTATCAATTTTGGGAAAAGTAGTTAGTTTCTGTTAAATGTTGGATGGAGTCCTTTGTAGACTTCTGATGGAATCTTTTAGACGCTAAAGGTATCTCTCCCACAATAGGAGGCTCTATATACATGCGGCTCTATCTATATTTAGGAATCTAAATTTTTCTATGTTGTAATTTGGTTGAAATAATTTCTTGTTTTGTAGACTTATTATGTGTTAGTTTTCTTATGAACATTTCAACAATTGGACAATATTCCGAAAACAACATTTTATTTTATAAACTCTAAAAGTAAAAACAAGTGCCACACTACTTTACTAAATAAAAAAACATTTTATCCCATCTATATGTTAGATAACAATAGTGATAATTGGAGATATGTCTGATTCATTATGATCTTCCATTCATATCTCATCTACATTCGTCAGATAATAATGGTGGTAGTTGAAGATGAGTCTGCTTGATTATGTTCTAACATCCCTATTTCATCTGATCAGGTTTATCATCTTACAACAATCAGATCAAATCGTTTCATCTCAATTTCATCCATAGATTTCTTATCTCTTAAACCACCATTTCCCCTATAAATATTAAGGCCTCAAAATACCAACCATATTATTTTCAGAACACACTACCCCCATTCCTCTATTCTAAAAATTCATTTCTCAAACCCCAAGACAACAATGTCTGGAGATGGGTATGATGGGCTTTTTGCTTGGGTTGCTACATCTTGCAGCCTGATGGTGGTTCACCTTGATATACAGCCCTCATGGGCTTGCAGAAGTTATGCCAAACTTAACCAATCATGCATATGTGAGAAAATCTTCTTCTCCTTCCTAACTTTGCCTCCAAAAAAAGAAAAATGTAAACAAAATCTTAAGAACTTACCCAACAGGTATTTCTTTAAGCTCGTCATTATTGAGTGAGTGGAATTGTCCCCTGCAAATAAAAAATTGAACATTAAATCATATAGAATAGTTTATCTGTTATAAAAGTATAAGTATGACATTAAATTATTAACGTTGTGGATTGTACACAAAAATGAGAAAGGCAAACTGTAAAAATAAAATATAAAATATAAAAAATTAAAAATTAAAAATTTTAACTACATTTTAGGGGGGAGAGAGAGAGAGAGAGAGATTTACGCGAGTATAGGAATAGCAGTTTCTCTAAGGTGAGAGGCAACACCAAGTTGATCAAGTGCACGCCAGCCGTTTGGATGCACGATGATAGCTGCCCCTGTAGCTCGCAATGCGTTTGACCTTTCCAGGACCACGCTTCTAATGCCCTTTCTGCCAAACAAATTAATTTTCAAATATACATCAAAACGATCTAGTATATATACGAATAATATTCTTTTGAGAATTGAAAAATAAATAAATTTTATCGTAATTAGTTTTTGAGTATTGAAAACGATCTAGTGTATAAACCCTTATCATTAACCCAGAAATTAGTTTTGATGATGAAACCAACGAAGTGTTAGATAAAGAAGAAGAAGAATAAGGTGGTGTGAGAGTAAACCTGTGAAGAGCAAGGGCAGTGGCAAGGCCGCATATCCCACCACCCACGATTACAATATTCTCTTTTGTATCACCAATCTCCATATCTTGCCTTCTATCTTCTATTTTCTGTTTTTGTTTTTTATTTAATCCTTTGGCTTAGAAAAGTAGGTGAGTGTTCATAAGATGCTACCTCAGGCTCCTGGCTAGGCTGCGGTTTAGAGGGCTTTGCTCAATTTCATTTAATAATTCGCAGCAGAAAAACCAAGGACTGGCCAGCATTCTTTGTATGTGGTTCAAACAGTTCGGCTAAGTTCATTTAATAATTCGCACCACAAAAGTCGTATGTTTGAGTTTTGCATACAATCTTTCTTTAATTATCTTGGGATGTGATAAAGTGTATTCACGGCACACCCTTTTGTTGAAAGCTACTTGCAGAATGAGTCACGGTATGCATGTTCCACCTTATTATAGCTCCTTGGGGACTATTGACAGAAGAGGAATACTAACGACCTTCTCTCTAACATTTTCCTTTGGACCTTCTCCCTTTTTTGTTTGACATGTGTCATTCTCCTTACACTTAACACAATATCATTAATATTTTATACAAACTAACTTTTGCTTTCCAAGTTTACCCTTATTAAATGTATTCAATTTATCCAAAAAAATTTCACAGCTTTATTACCATCTTATTAATTTTTTCTAACGTCAATTTTTTTAAAAAAAAGAAAATATGTGCTTTTAAGAGGAAATGTCCCGTTCAAAAAAACAAAAGGGTTTAGATAGGAAAAAAAAAGAGGGGACATTTCCTCTTTTTGGAAAAAGCATATATTTTCTTTAAAAAAATAATTGATGTTTTAAAAAAAAAAGATAGTAAGAAAGTTGTAAAATTTTTTTTGAATAAATTGAATACATTTAATAAGGGTAAACTTGGAAAGCAAAAGTTAACTTGTATAATATATTAATAACATTGTTTTAAGTGTAAATAGAATGACACATGTCAAGCAAAAAATGGAGAAGGGCCAAAGAAGAAGGTTAGAGAGAAGGTTGCTAGCATTCCCCTTAACAGAAAACCACTCGAAATTAGTTTAACATGTATTTTGCTTCTTTAAGTAAAAGATCATATCTTCAACTGCATTCCTCATGCGACAAAATGCTAGCCACGCATTCTTTTGCATCAATCTCTAGAATGATTTAATTATATCAATCTCTAGAATGATTTTTATCATCACTTTAACTCAAGGTGTAGCATCCTCCTCAAAATTTGACACATGTCAATAGGTATAACTATAGTTAACTTTTTTATTTTTGATGATATTATTATGGGAAAAAGAAAAATTACAATGCTTTTAATAAAATTTAAAACTAAAAACCAATTATTAAAGAAAAAAAACAAAACTGTAAATAGCCACCACAGCAACCCACCCACCCAACCAACAAACCTAGTCAACCACCTCGGCAACAACCCCTTCCCAACACATCATTTGATGTGTATTCAATGATTTTATCTCTCTGTAAAAAAAAGGGGATATGAAATAATAATTGTGTAGATAGAGTATATTAAAATATTATGTTGTTTTTATTAATATAAGTTGTTTATTATCTTATTTCATGGTCTTACCTCCCATTATTGGTGTTGACAGTTGAAAATATCGATATATCGGTGTATCAGCCGATGTTTCAATCCTTGATGGTGGTTAAGGTGTTGGAGGAGTAAAATGAGAGGGGTTCAAATCCCCTTTGTGTTTTTTTTTCCTCCCTTTTTTCCCTTTTTTTTTTCTTTTTCCTTTTTTTTTTCCTTTACATCGATATTTTCAATATTTTAGAGATATTACACCAATATTTTGACAAAATATTGCTGAAGTGTGAGCTCAATTATCGACATTGATATTTTCCAATATTATCGTCGATATTGTCGATATTTATACGATATGTACATGGACATGTTCCGAAATATCCGTAATTCGAAAAAACTGAAATATCCTCGATATTTCGTCAATATTATCGATATTTCATACTGTGCTCGTTATAACAGTGGGAAGTTTTGGGGGTTGGAGGACAATGATATATGGGCTTTGCAGACTTTATTTTATGGATTCCAATTGAATGATTCTCTGACTTTGATAGAACTAAAAGTAGTCAGATTTTTTTGGAGGTATGTGGGTAGTGAATTGCATATTGCCAATTGTCTAACTTCGAAAAGTGAAAAAGAAACAGCCAAAAAAGGAAACAAATATTAAATGAGTGGAAGATAGCATTTCTAGTTAATTTACCTGAATAGCCAAACTTAGATAAAAGCTTTCAATAGTTCAAAGGCCAAACAATAAGCCAAAAAAGAGAACCCCAAAGCAGTCTTCCAAGCATGAAGTAAAGGATCAATTCTTCTTCTAAGTTCTTCTTTTCATGGCTCAAAAAATAGTCACTCACATTCTTTACATTATTAATCATTATTATACTAATATTTTGTGTATCATATAATCTACAAATTTACAAATATAGTGGTTGTGATCAATACATGTTAGACCAAAAGATGGGAAGCCAAGCGAGTGGCATATAAGCTTGAGATAAGACATGTATGTCCCCTCAATTGACTTTGCATGGATTCTTCATAATAATAATTAATGCATACTCCAAAACATCTTTTCAATTGGATATTTCCAAAAGCCTTCACACATACCTAATCACTGCCCACATATCACCAAAAAATCTTTTGGGCTTCAATTTGTTTCAAAACTTTTAGGGAGAGAAACCCAATAGGCCACGAATATTAAACTTCCTATTGCACCACAACCTATCATCAATAAGAGATTTGATTCACCTTGGACTCAAAGTAATGACGCCTCTCTTTAAACCAAATTAACTAAGAGGTAAGCAATGTGCAAAGTCACAATAGGAAAAGATAATATTTTAACTTCAATTAAAATAGAGTTGAACTAGGAAAGTAATCTCAAGAGATAAAATCTAATCTTATTAAAAATAAGATTAAGATAAAAATACTTTGAGTGAAAATAACTCAAACTAGGAATCCTATAATGAATGCATGATTATGTCATGATTTACCTGAAATCAGATTCCTCATATCGGTCAAGTCATGCTTTGGAAACCTGAGATTGAATGTGTTGCGCCAAAACGTCTAGTAAACGATATTCACACACTAACTCCCAACCTATGCTAGAGTCTAGGAAATGACAATACAAATTTCATACTAACAGTTTGGACAAAGAGAAGGTTTCTTTGGGAGCCATTGTTACTGAGGATGAAATTAGGACATCGCGTCACTTGAGGCAATGCGCCTCTGAGCAAAAGATACCAGTGATGGTCAGTAATTCTTAATTTCTTTTAGAAGTGTTTTGGATTCCTGTTTATGGCTTATACAAAAGCTCAAAGAGCACCGAACATTTCGAAAAAGCAATTGTGACAAATCTCTTGCTTTCACAATGATGTGCTCACATGCTCTTTTCCCATAATAATAAACTTCAACCCTTTCTGATTTGAGTAAGCATCTGTTGCAGCCAGCTAGCTGGATCATAAAAAGCTTGCATTCAGGAAAGCTCCTTCCATTTCCTGATAAAGGTACTTCCTCTCTTCCTGCAATTAAGATTCCATAGATCCCAGTTTCCACAAAAATGAGTGAAGATGTATAAAATTACCGTTTCTTTAGCAGCATATGCAGTGGATTTGTTGTGTGCATATGTAATATTGTAGGATACAAAATAATGTAGTAATTTATAATTCCAATTTCAAATTTTTAAGAGATTGGTTGTGTCAAGTATAAGTTATGCTACATACATATAAGTTTCCTTGTAGTTTTCAAACATGTAAGAATGAAAATATTATATTTTTTTAAAATTACACCCATGCCTTTTGAACTTTTATCTGTGTCTTACTTGGGTGCTTAAGAAAAATACCTTCTAAAGTTGTTTTAAAAAATCACCCTTGTTGCCAATGGGTCTAGCTCAGTGGAAAAAGACATCAACTTGCAAACCAGAGGTCTCAAGTTTGAACCCCCATGACATCTTAAAAACATTTTTAGTTCAAAGAAGAAAACTTCAGGAAAAGTAATCAATTAACATGACCACCATAACTATACTCAATGACTATAATAACTATATTATGATATCACCATAACTATAATAACTATATTGTGCTACATCCATATAAGTTTCCTTGTAGTTATTTATATAATAACTATAAAATAGGAAAGTAGCATCTTTATATTAATTGATTCACAAATAATTAAACTTAAAGCAGAGCCATATATGCATGCATATCTTAGAGGCTACCACAGTCATAGCGGGTGTGGCCATGTGAGTCACTGAAAAGGACGGCCAGGAGGATAATGCATATGAATTTAACAAACTGTGATGAAGCATCAAGCATTTTCCCAATCAGGTACATCTGCAGAGACAATCTCAGAATTCGCATCCGAGTATCATCTTTTTTGGTTATTCTGAACTGAGAGCCGAGTTCATGCCCATTTGGATAACTCGTGAAGCCTCTTATCAGGAGAAGAAGTTATGGGATCCAGCTTAATAGAAAGCACTTCGCATCCAAAATGAAGAGTGTTACGTGGCAAACTATTTGCCAAAATATCAACGAGATCAGTCCTTTTCAAACATCTCAATTCTTCTTTCCTGTAAGTGATTGAGTTCATAATTGATGTAACCATTTTTTTTGGGGAAAATCATTGTCATGCTCAATTTATTTATGTTCAAATTGGGTGACAATTTCATCATATATAAGGTCACCAATACTTATTTAACAACACTTTAAGTTCTCTTGCATGAAATTTGAACTCATAATCTACTTTGACACAACGAAAAATAAATGCCATTACACCAAATGATTATCAATTTTGGGAAGAGTAGTTAGTTTCTGTTAAATGGTGGATGGAGTCCTTTGTAGACTTATGATGGAATCTTTCGGACTCTAAGACTATCTCCAACCATGTTGGGGCTAAACTCAAATTTTTCACCCTCCAAAATACAACTATTCATGTATTTTCAGGACTCAAAATTTTTTTTCCTCCAACCTTGCAGACTCATAATTTGAGTCTGCAACTTTATTAAATTGTTTAAGAATGATTAACCTCTATTTTTTTTTCTTGATATTATTTTTGTTTCAATACTCATGATTTAATTTTCTAAACATTTTAACCTAAAAAAATTAAAATTCCAAAACATAATAGAATTTCACTTAAAAATAAAAACAATTACAAACCATATGTTGGAATATTTATAAATTTTTTTTTAAAAAAAACAGCATAACAAAAATTTGATAGACTAGCCGTTGCTTGTCAAAAACGGAAAAGGAATGAAGATTCCCACTTGTCAAAGTGGGCCAGCGAACAAAGTTGGGCACATGGGCTGCTGCTTTCCTACAATAAAAAATTATATGTTAAAGTAGATTGGGCCCCACATAATTACCAGTCCAGGCAGAATTTTGGGTGGAATTCCAGTCCAAGTTTGAGGCATCTCAAATTTTCACCTCCCAAAATACATGGGTTGGAGATGGTTTTTGAAGGCTAAACTCAAAATTTGAGTTTCCACCCCAAAGGTTGGAGATGGTCTAAAGGTATCTCTCCCACAATAGGAGGCTCTATATACATGCGGCTCTATCTATATTTGGGAATCTAAATTTTTCTATGTTGTAATTTGGTTGAAATACTTTCTTGTTTTGTAGACTTATTATGTGTTAGTTTTCTTATGAACATTATTCAACAATTGGACAAGATTCCGAAAACAACATTTTATTTTATAAACTCTAAAAGTAAAAACAAGTGCCACACTACTTTACTAAATAAAAAAACATTTTATCCCATCTATATGTTAGATAACAATAGTGATAATTGGAGATATGTCTGATTCATTATGGTCTTCCATTCATATCTCATCTACATTCGTCAGATAATAATGGTGGTAGTTGAAGATGAGTCTGCTTGATTATGTTCTAACATCCCTATTTCATCTGATCAGGTTTATCATCTTACAACAATCAGATCAATTTTTTTTTTTTTTTTTTTTTTTTTTTTTTTTTTTTTTTTTTTTTTTTTTTTTTTTTTTTTTTTTTTTTTTTTTTTTTTTTTTTTTTTTTTTTTTTTTTTTTTTTTTTTTTTTTTTTTTTTTTTTTTTTTTTTTTTTTTTTTTTTTTTTTTTTTTTTTTTTTTTTTTTTTTTTTTTTTTTTTTTTTTTTTTTTTTTTTTTTTTTTTTTTTTTTTTTTTTTTTTTTTTTTTTTTTTTTTTTTTTTTTTTTTTTTTTTTTTTTTTTTTTTTTTTTTTTTTTTTTTTTTTTTTTTTTTTTTTTTTTTTTTTTTTTTTTTTTTTTTTTTTTTTTTTTTTTTTTTTTTTTTTTTTTTTTTTTTTTTTTTTTTTTTTTTTTTTTTTTTTTTTTTTTTGTGTTGCCAATGGGTCTAGCTCAGTGGAAAAAGACATCAACTTGCAAATCAGAGGTCTCAAGTTTGAACCCCCATGACATCTTAAAAACATTTTTAGTTCGAAGAAGAAAAACTTCAGGAAAAGTAATCAATTAACATGACCACCATAACTATACTCAATGACTATAATAACTATATTATGATATCACCATAACTATAATAAACTATATTACGCTACATCCATATAAGTTTCCTTATAGTTATTTATATAATAACTATAAAATAGGAAAGTAGCATCTTTATATTAATTGATTCACAAATAATTAAACTTAAAGCAGAGCCATATATGCATGCATATCTTAGAGGCTACCACAGTCATAGCGGGTGTGGCCATGTGAGTCACTGAAAAGGACGGCCAGGAGGATAATGCATATGAATTTAACAAACTGTGATGAAGCATCAAGCATTTTCCCAATCAGGTACATCTGCAGAGACAATCTCAGAATTCGCATCCGAGTATCATCTTTTTTGGTTATTCTGAACTGAGAGCCGAGTTCATGCCCATTTGGATAACTCGTGAAGCCTCTTATCAGGAGAAGAAGTTATGGGATCCAGCTTAATAGAAAGCACTTCGCATCCAAAATGAAGAGTGTTACGTGGCAAACTATTTGCCAAAATATCAACGAGATCAGTCCTTTTCAAACATCTCAATTCTTCTTTCCTGTAAGTGATTGAGTTCATAATTGATGTAACCATTTTTTTTGGGGAAAAATCATTGTCATGCTCAATTTATTTATGTTCAAATTGGGTGACAATTTCATCATATATAAGGTCACCAATACTTATTTAACAACACTTAAGTTCTCTTGCATGAAATTTGAACTCATAATCTACTTTGACACAACGAAAAATAAATGCCATTACACCAAATGATTATCAATTTTGGGAAGAGTAGTTAGTTTCTGTTAAATGGTGGATGGAGTCCTTTGTAGACTTATGATGGAATCTTTCGGACTCTAAGACTATCTCCAACCATGTTGGGGCTAAACTCAAATTTTCACCCTCCAAAATACAACTATTCATGTATTTTCAGGACTCAAAATTTTTTTTCCTCCAACCTTGCAGACTCATAATTTGAGTCTGCAACTTTATTAAATTGTTTAAGAATGATTAACCTCTATTTTTTTTTCTTGATATTATTTTTGTTTCAATACTCATGATTTAATTTTCTAAACATTTTAACCTAAAAAAATTAAAATTCCAAAACATAATAGAATTTCACTTAAAAATAAAAACAATTACAAACCATATGTTGGAATATTTATAAATTTTTTTTAAAAAAAAACAGCATAACAAAAATTTGATAGACTAGCCGTTGCTTGTCAAAAACGGAAAAGGAATGAAGATTCCCACTTGTCAAAGTGGGCCAGCGAACAAAGTTGGGCACATGGGCTGCTGCTTTCCTACAATAAAAAATTATATGTTAAAGTAGATTGGGCCCCACATAATTACCAGTCCAGGCAGAATTTTGGGTGGAATTCCAGTCCAAGTTTGAGGCATCTCAAATTTTCACCTCCCAAAATACATGGGTTGGAGATGGTTTTTGAAGGCTAAACTCAAAATTTGAGTTTCCACCCCAAAGGTTGGAGATGGTCTAAGGTATCTCTCCCACAATAGGAGGCTCTATATACATGCGGCTCTATCTATATTTGGGAATCTAAATTTTTCTATGTTGTAATTTGGTTGAAATACTTTCTTGTTTTGTAGACTTATTATGTGTTAGTTTTCTTATGAACATTTCAACAATTGGACAAGATTCCGAAAACAACATTTTATTTTATAAACTCTAAAAGTAAAAACAAGTGCCACACTACTTTACTAAATAAAAAAACATTTTATCCCATCTATATGTTAGATAACAATAGTGATAATTGGAGATATGTCTGATTCATTATGGTCTTCCATTCATATCTCATCTACATTCGTCAGATAATAATGGTGGTAGTTGAAGATGAGTCTGCTTGATTATGTTCTAACATCCCTATTTCATCTGATCAGGTTTATCATCTTACAACAATCAGATCAAATCGTTTCATCTCAATTTCATCCATAGATTTCTTATCTCTTATACCACCATTTCCCCTATAAATATTAAGGCCTCAAAATACCAACCATATTATTTTCAGAACACACTACCCCCCATTCCTCTATTCTAAAAATTCATTTCTCAAACCCCAAGACAACAATGTCTGGAGATGGGTATGATGGGCTTTTTGCTTGGGTTGCTACATCTTGCAGCTTGATGGTGGTTCACCTTGATATACAGCCCTCATGGGCTTGCAGAAGTTATGCCAAACTTAACCAATCATGCATATGTGAGAAAATCGCCTTCTCCTTTCTAACTTTGCCTCCAAAAAAAGAAAAATGTAAACAAAATCTTAAGAACTTACCCAACAGGTATTTCTTTAAGCTCGTCATTATTGAGTGAGTGGAATTGTCCCCTGCAAATAAAAAATTTAACATTAAATCATATAGAATAGTTTATCTGTTATAAAAGTATAAGTATGACATTAAATTATTAACGTTGTGGATTGTACACAAAAATGAGAAAGGCAAAGTGTAAAAATAAAAAAAAATATAAAAAATAAAAAATAAAAATAAAAACTACATTTTAGGGGGGAGAGAGAGAGAGAGAGAGAGAGAGAGAGAGAGAGAGAGAGAGATTTAGGAATAGCAAGGTGAGAGGCAACACCAAGTTGATCAAGTGCACGCCAGCCGTTTGGATGCACGATGATAGCTGCCCCTGCAGCTCGCAATGCGTTTGATCTTTCCAGGACCACGCTTCTAATGCCCTTTCTGCCAAACAAATTAATTTTCAAATATACATCAAAACGATCTAGTATATATATGAATAATATTCTTTGAGAATGAAAAAAAAAAAAAAAAAAAATATTTATCGTAATTAGTTTTTGAGTATTGAAAACGATCTAGTGTATAAACCCTTATCATTAACCCAGAAATTAGTTTTGATGATGAAATCAACGAAGTGTTAGATAAAGAAGAAGAAGAATAAGGTGGTGTAAGAGTAAACCTGTGAAGAGCAAGGGCAGTGGCAAGGCCGCATATCCCACCACCCACGATTACAATATTCTCTTTTGTATCACCAATCTCCATATCTTGCCTTCTATCTTCTATTTTCTGTTTTGTTTTTTATTTAATCCTTTGGCTTAGAAAAGTAGTTGAGTGTTCATAAGATGCTACCTCAGGCTCCTGGCTAGGCTGCGGTTTAGAGGGCTTTGCTCAATTTCATTTAATAATTCGCAGCAGAAAAACCAAGAACTAGCCAGCATTCTTTGTATGTGGTTCAAACAGTTCGGCTAAGTTTAATGAGCCACAAAAGTTGTATGTTTGAGTTTTGCATACAATCTTTCTTTAATTATCTTGGGATGTGATAAAGTGTATTCACGGCACACCCTTTTGTTGAAAGCTGCTTGCAAATGAGTCACGGTATGCATGTTCCACCTTATTATAGCTCCTTGGGGACTATTGACAGAAGAGAAATGCTAGCAACCTTCTCTCTAACCTTTTCTTTTGGACATTCTCCATTTTTTGTTTGATATGTGTCATTCTCCAACTTTTGCTAGCAACCTTCACTTAAAACATATCATTAATATATTATACAAACTAACTTTTGCTTTTCAAGTTTACCCTTAATAAATGTATTCAATTTATCTAACAAAATTTCACAGCTTTATTACCATCTTATTAATTTTTTTCTAACGTCAATTTTTAAAAAAAAAGAAAATATGTGCTTTTAAGAGGAAATGTCCCCTTTTTTTTATTTAAAAAAAACACAAAGGGTTTGGATAGAGAAAAAAAAAGTCCTTGTGTTTAAAAGAAAGGGGACATTTCCTCTCTTTTGGAAAAAGCATATATTTTCTTTTAAAAAAAATAAGATAGTAAGAAAGTTGTAAAAAAAATTTGGATAAATTGAATACATTTAATAAGGGTAAACTTGGAAAGCAAAAGTTAACTTGTATAATATATAAATAACATTGTTTTAAGTGTAAATATAATGGCACATGTCAAGCAAAAAAGGGAGAAGGTCCAAAGAAGAAGGTTAGAGAAAAGGTTGCTAGCATTCCCCTTAATAGAAAACCACTCGAAATTAGTTTAACATGTATTTTGCTTCTTTAAGTAAAAGATCATATCTTCAACTACATTCCTCATGCGACAAAATGCTAGCCACGCATTCTTTTGCATCAATCTCTAGAATGATTTAATTATATCTCATGTTAATGGAGTATTTTTGCTCATCACTTTAACTCAAGGTGTAGCATCCTCCTCAAAATTTGACACATGTCAATAGGTATAACTATAGTTAACTTTTTTTATTTTTGATGATATTATTATGGGAGAGAAAAATTACAATGCTTTTAATAAAATTTAAAATTAAAAACCAATTATTAAAGAAAAAAACAAAACTGTAAATAGCAACCACAGCAACCCGCCCACCCAATCAACAGACCTAGTCAACCACCCCGGCAGCAACCCCTTCCCTCGCCGGAAACACATCATTTGTTGTGTATTCAATGATTTTCTCTCTCTGTAAAAAAAGGGGATATGAAATAATAATTGTGTAGATAGAGTATATTAAAATATTATGTTGTTTTTATTATATAAGTTGTTTATTATCTTATTTCGTTGTAAGAGCATCTATAACCATACCCTCTGTTTTTTAGTTAAAATTTAGCAGGGTGTGGATTTTCCAGGGTCCAATGCAAACCGTTTTTTGGATAATATGATAAGTGCCAACGAGTGAATGAAATAATACCATGATTTAACCGAGTACTCCCCACCATCAAACCAAGGCCAAACCCACCTGTCATCGTCATCCCCCAACCCAATAGGCCAAACCCACCTAGCATCAATGAAATTCATGATATGAGCCAAGTTCCATGAGCGGGTGTTATGGTCAATGATCTCGTAAATTAATTGAGGGGTGCTGGTAGAAATAGGAGTAGTCTGATTTACGAATCCCCTATGAGGTGGAGGAAGCCAATTATCATTCTAAATCCTGGTGGATAAACCGCTCACCACTTGAACCTCATGAGCATCCCTCATCACAGTCTCTCTGCCCTCAATCAAGCTAGACCAAGCTCATGATGGTCTAGACCCCATAGAGGCATGCATAAAGTTAGTGTTAGGGAAGTATCTAGCCTTGAGGAGTTTCACCCTCCAAGAGTTTGGATTATGTAGAATTCTCCAGCATTGCTTACCAAGCAAGGCCAAATTGAAATCCGTATGATCTCGAAAGCCCATCCAACAAGAGTTTTTTTGCTAGGCTCAATTTCTCCCATGATTGCTAGGATGAGAACTAAAAGTAGTAGATTTTTTGGAGGTACGTGGGTAGTGAATTGCATATTGCCAATTGTCTGACTTCGAAAAGTGAGAAAGAAACAGCCAAAAAACGAAACAATATTAAATGAGTGGAAGATAGCATTTCTAGTTAATTTACCTGAATGACCGAACTTATATAAAAGCTTTCAACAGTTTAAAGGCTGAACAATAAGCCAAAAAAGAGAACCCCAAAGCTCAAAACAGTCTTCCAAGCATGAAGTAAAGGATCAATTCTTCTTCCAAGTTCTTCTTTTCATGGCTCAAAAAACAGTCACTCGCATTCTTCACATTATTAATTATTATTATACTAATATTTTGTGTATCATATAATCTACAAATTTACAAATATAGTGGTTGTGATCAATACACGTTAGACCAAAAGATGGGAAGCCGAGCAAGTGGCAAATAAGCTTGAGATAATTGACTTTGCATAGATTCTTCATAATAATAATTAATGCATACAAAAAAACATCTTTTCAATTGGATATTTCCAAAAGTCTTCACACTTATCTAATCACTACCCACATACCTCCAAAAAATCGAGCTTCAATTTTCTTCAAAACTTTTGAATTCTTTTTGTGTTTTGTTATGGGTATCGGGAAATATCGAGGATATCGGCAAAATATTAGGGATATCGCACTTATCGGGGATATATCGTCGATATAGGGGAAGATATGGTCTTACCTCCCAGTATCGGTGTTAACAGTTGAAAATATCGATATATCGGTGTATCGGCCGATATTTCAATCCTTGATGGTGGTTAAGGTGTTGGAGGAGTAAAATGGGAGGGGTTCAAATCCCCTTTGTGTTTTTTTTTCCTTTTTTTTTCCTTTACATTCGATATTTTTCAATATTTTAGAGATATTACACCAATATTTTGACAAAATATTGCTGAAGTGTGAGCTCAATTATTGACATTGATATTTTCCAATATTATCGTCGATATTTATACGATATGTACATGGATATGTTCCGAAATATCCGTAATTCGAAAAAAACTGAAATATCCTCGATATTTCGTCAATATTATCGATATTTCATACTGTGCTCGTGATAACAGTGGGAAGTTTTGGGGGTTGGAGGACAATGATATATGGGCTTTGCAAACTTTATATTTATGGATTCCAAATTTGATAGAACTTGATAGAAGTAAAGTAGATTTTTTTGGAGGTATGTGGGTAGTGAATTGCATATTGCCAATTGTCTAACTTCGAAAAGTGAAAAAGAAACAGCCAAAAAAGGAAACAAATATTAAATGAGTGGAAGATAGCATTTCTAGTTAATTTACCTGAATGGCCAAACTTAGATAAAAGCTTTCAATAGTTTAAAGGCCAAACAATAAGCCAAAAAAGAGAACCCCAAAGCAGTCTTCCAAGCATGAAGTAAAGGATCAATTCTTCTTCTAAGTTCTTCTTTTCATGGCTCAAAAAATAGTCACTCACATTCTTTACATTATAAATCATTATTATACTAATATTTTGTGTATCATATAATCTACAAATTTACAAATATAATGGTTGTGATCAATACATGTTAGATCAAAACATGGGAAGCCAAGCAAGTGGCATATAAGCTTGATAAGACATGTATGTCCCCTCAATTGACTTTGCATAGATTCTTCATATAGTAATTAATGCATACTCCAAACCTCTCAATTGAATATTTCCAAAAGCCTTCACACATACCTAATCACTGCCCACATATCTCCAAAAAATCTTTTGGGCTTCAATTTTCTTCAAAACTTTTGAATTTTTTTTGGGTTTTGTTAGGTATCGGGAAATATCGAGGATATCGGCAAAATATCTAGGATACCGCACTTATCGAGGATATATCATCGATATAGGGGAAGATATGGTAGCTCCCAGTATTGGTGTCGATAGTTGAAAATATTGATATATCGGTGTGTTGGCCGATAGTTCAATCCTTGGGTAGAATAAACTTGAGAAGCCATCAGGGCCAGGGGCTTTCAAATCCCCCAATTGGTGAGCAGCCAAATGAATTTCATCCAAGGTGAAAAGGGCACACAAGTCTAAGTTCATTTCTGTAGTAATGACCGATTGGTTCCATTAAAAAGAACAAATCAAAATTGGTATCAAAAGGGTACTCACAATTCCAAATAATTGACTACAATGAGACTTTTGCATTATTTTCAAAAGAGTTGATAATTTGGTGTTAACCGATGTGAATTTTACTATGGAGTTCAAAAGAGATATGATGAAGAAATATGAAATGAGTGATTTGGACCTATTGCATTATTTTCTTGGAATTGGAATATGTCAAAACAATGATGGCATTTCTATTTCTCAAAAGAAATATGCAAAGAGCCTTCTTGAAAAATTCAAAATGAATGGTTGCAATCCAGTGGCTACACCATTGGTTATGAATGAGAAACTAGAAAGAGAATATGGAAATAAAAATTTGATGCTTCATTGTATAGGAGTTTAGTTGGAAGCTTGCTGCATTTGATGGCTACAAGACCAGACATCCTGTATGCTACTAGCTTGTTGTCAAGATATATGCATAAGCCAAGTCAAATTCATTATGGGATGGCTAAGAGAGTCCTAAGATATGTTCAAGGAACAATTGGCCATGACATTATGAATGAGAGAAATGTTGAGCCAAAGTTACTTGGTTTTTGTGATAGTGATTAGGGTGGTTGTGTTGATGATATGAAGAGCACCTTAGGATATGATTTGACTCTTGGCTCAAGTATGTTTTCATGGGCTTCAAAGAAGCAAGCAAGTGTTGCACAATCCACAGTAGAGGCGGAACATGTGTTTGCTTCCTTGACAACTTCTCAAACAATTTGGCTTAGAAGAATTTTGGAAGATGTTGGTAAAAAGCAAGGAGAAGCAACTCAAATTATGTGTGATAGCAATTCTTCCATTGCTATGGCAAAGAATCATGTTTTCTCCAATAGATCAAAGCATATTGCACTCAAGCATCACTTCATCCAAGAGGCGGTGGAGCAAAATGTGATTGAGGTCTAGTATAAATAAAGATCAAGTGGCTGACATCTTCACCAAAGCTTAACGAAATGATAAATTTCACTATCTTAGAGAGATCTTGGGAGTTCAACAGCTAAGCATTAAGAGGGAGTGTTAAAATATTAATGCTATGTTGTTTTTATTAATATAAGTTGTTTATTACCTTATTGGGTTGTAAGGCCTTGTATTTGCCACGTTAATAGCTGACTTTTGTGTGTTGTTTTAGCTTTAAATGAGGCTCCACCTCCTTGGGCTCTAGTATGTACAGTCCAAGTGCAAAAAGGCATCCTCAATGGAAGACATTTGGGACCAATTTGGTTCTCGGAAAAAAGATTTGATGGGGAATAATTTCTCATGTCTTTCCTAAGGGATGAGAAATGAAAGATTCTTTTCATATGTTTGGTAATCTTTGGAAAGTAACGAGGAAATACCACTTTATTTTTTTTTCATATGTTTGATTTTAGGAATGTAAAACAAAGTTTGTTTAATTTTCCAATTATATCTATATGAAATCAAATAAAAATAGAATGCATTTAATGCTATATTGTACTTCTAAATTGTTAATGGGGGACAAAATGGTCATGAAAAATGTGTATTTAATGTTTACTCATTTTCCCAAACTTTCTCATAAGAAAAACAAAACCCAAGGGGGGATGATGGCTTCACTTTCCCTTTACTTTCTCATGTGCCAGACAACCATTTCACATACCTGGACTTACCAAACACTGAAAAATAATTGTTTTTCCATTCCTAAGCCTCCTTTCCTATGAACTAAACGGTGCCTTGAGGCTCTATATAATAAAGTATGACCAGAGCTTGACCTAAATCCGTGGACTCAGATAGAGCCCATACAGCCCCAATGAGCCCGACATTTTGAGAAGCTGCAGACCAACCAACCCACAAGCTGGGCCTTGTACTCGTGCCCATATGCCATCCTGACCTGACTGCTGGTCATGTCTAGGTTTGAATTAAATTAAAAAGATGTTTTGTTTAACAACAACCAAATAAAGGCTTTGTTTAATCTTTTACGAACCTTTTTGTTTTTACTTTTTTATTTGCTATTTAGTTTTTTTTTCTTTTTATGGTTTGATGTTTCCTTCTCTCTCAATTTTTTTTTAAAAAAATGTTTGCTTTCAATTATTATAACTTTCCTTTAAAATTACAACTTCAATTTTTCTATGTTTCTTTTAATTATTTTGGATATAGATCTGTAACTTCTTTTATCACTAGGACTTTATATTTAATTTTTTTACTTTCAAAGTTTGTTTTTATACTATTTTCCAAATTTGGATTATTTTTATAGAAATGTTCATTAAAAAAAAACCATAACATAAACATATATTAAAACAAAATAAGTTAACTAAAAAAAAATTAACACGTAAAACAAATTACATCATATAAAATATACAAATTTAGTTATATACCCACTTTTAGATATAGTCTTATAAAGAAACCCTATACCATTTAAAAACTATAAACACATAAAAAAAAATAATAAAAAAAACCCAAAAATCGGCAACTGTCAATTTTATAATTCAATAGCTATTTTTTAGTTTATTTGTGTGTGTAAAACGCCTATATTTCCCTTGTACTATGGATTTAAGAGAGAAAAATCAAATCTGCCCAAATCTGCCAAAAATCCCAATCTGCCAAAAAACCAAATCTAATTTATTTTCTCCTTTCTCGCTAGTGTTTTCTCGATGTTGGAGTAAGAGAAGCTTTCATTGAAGCTCAATCTCAGGTTCAACTATATTCTTCATCCTCATCTTCGAGCTCTACTCCTCTTTCACCACGTCGTTGTCATCATCATCATCCTCTTTATTGTCGTCGTCATTGTTTGGTTTCGACTTGAGATTTTTTATCTTTTGCTTCAATTATGTGTTTCTGTTCATATTTTAGTTAATTTTTTAAATGTATTTTAAGCTTTGATGATTGATTTATCCTTTGTTACTATTTCAGTTATGGATCTCATTTTTGTTTAACTATGTACTTCTATAACAGAGTATTAACAATGTACTTTTATGACATGATAGTATTAACAATTTGGGCTTGGCTTATTTTGAGTTGGTCTGGTTGTTCTTTCGTCTTTTCTTGGTGGACATGTATTAGAAATAGCAACAAGACAAGCATTAATCAACATCGTAAACTAGCAGTGTTATTACCTTAGACTGGAACATTACAAGAGTAGAAAATTAGAAAAAGGATGACATAGAAAATTAGCAATGTTATTACCCTAGACTGGAACATTACAGGGGGTAGACATGCATTAGAAATAGAATGTCATGTGAAACTAGCAGTGTTATTACCCTAGACTGGAACATTACAACCATTAATCAACATGACAGTAAACTAGCAGTGTTATTACCCTAGACTGGAATATTATAGTCATTAATCAACATGACAGTAAATTAGCAATGTTATTACCCTAGACTGGAACATTACAAAATAGCAGTGTTATTATTATATACTGGAACATTACATGGGTAGACATGCATTAGAAATAGGATATCATAGGAAACTAGCAGTGTTATTACCTTAAACTAGAACATTACAGGGGTAAACATGAACTAGAAATAGGATATCATAGAAAACTAGTAGTATTATGACCCTAGAATGGAAGTGTTATTACCCTAGACTGGAACACTACATGGGTAGACATGTATGAAAAATAAGATGTCATAGGAAACTAGCAATGTTATTACCCTAGACTGGAACATTATAGTCATTAATCAACATGATAGTAAACTACAGTGTTATTACCCTAGACTGGAACATTACAGCCATTAATCAACTTGACAATAAAGGTATAAAACATTACAGTCATTAATCAACATGACACGTTAATGAAGCTATGGTTTTCAAGACATTTTGTTTGTACTGAATTTTTGGGTTTTTTTTTATAAAATTGGGTTGGGCTTGTTTGGGTGCTATTTAAGTTTTTTGTGTTGGGCTTCTTTTAAGTTGATTAATGGCAATCACGTAATTTATAGGAACTTCAACACCAATTTCTTATGTAATAAATGAGTTTTGGGTGTGTTTCTAAAATGCATTCCATGTGGGTTTTTATTTATTTATAATTTCAGCCCCTATTTTGGGGTATATTAGTGAAGCTCCCTATAAAATACCTATAGAGCCCCGAATATAAAGCCCTCCATTGTGGAAAATAGGCACGTATCTACATAATGGGCTGTTTGGGCTACAACCCATACAATTTATTATTTTATTATTATTTAATATTGAGTCATTCTACAGTGAGGGCCTTAGATAAGGTCTTATCTCTTAACCGTTGAATCAAAATAATCAATTTGATCTAACGTCTAACCAATTTAATCCAATCATTAGGAGATAAGACCTCATATAAGGGCTTTAAATAAGACCCTCACAATAGAATTCTTGTTTTAATACCATGTAGTCTTCATTAAAAAAAAAACATGTAGGTAGCCCAACCCAAATTTGAAAGCAGTCATGAGCCCACCCATGTTGGCCATGTTCCCCACATAGAGCATGTTACTTACTCTTTTTCAAGTCAGAGTCTCGTCACTCGTGAGAGAAGTAGAGCAAACTTTGCTCCAGCTTCCCCTTGAGAACCAAATTAAATTAGTGATTAGGAGTAAGAGGGATTTTTAATTTGGGGATTTTTAACCTAATGTATTAGGGATTTTGCTCCATTTTTAACATAAATAAATTTAAAAAAATATGAAACCCTTATTGTTTAACTTACTAGTACTAGATATTGTTTCACATTATAGTTGCTTACATGTTTTATACATCATTCATAGGATATACTTTATAACGTCGGATAATCATCGAAATCTTAAGAGAACAAGATAGATGATAAGTTTCTTGGTGACTATATGATACTTCACATTGAAAAAGATTTTACTGATAATATCAATAATGAATAAATAATTAGTGATTTTAAATGTTTTGAAGTCTCGAAGGGTGTAACTTAAAAAGTTTTATTTTGTATTTGCATTGCATATTTATTTATTGTTGTCTTTGTTTACTAGTTTATATCTTATGTACTAGATACATTTTGAGGGATACGACTCATTGTGTCCCCCCTGATTAAGTGTATTATTTTTTTGTTATTAATTAAATTCACTCGTGTCATTGAGTTTGATCGTCAGGTAAATCTAGTCCAATTCATTTTGAATTATGGGATTAGAGCCATTGTCCTTCAGCTACCCACTTGCTGGCAAGGGTCGAAGTGTGTTGATAATAGAGCCGGCCAGCCCGACCCAACAATTGACGCACGTAACCCTATGTTTCGCGGCATGTCGACGCTAACATCCATCCACAAACAGTCAAAGCCAGAAAAAGACCACATGGTCCATACGTACGTTACATGCACCCAACCACCAAGGCCTTCCCTTTGATGAACATATGGTCCCACGTGGACGTACGGCAGGGCGTATGCAAACGTGGCTTGATTTGGTATACGTGTGGATCCTTGTACGTGGTTAATTTTTAAAATTAATAAGTTTCACTATCAGAAATACCATAAATCCACGTCAAAATATGATAGGTGTCTCGTATCAGTTAGGTTATTTATTTATTTATTATTTTTGACAGACATGAGTTTGCCTCATCATCATTTCGTACAACCTCAACATTCTATCCTTCAATTCTCATCCTGAGCTATATACATCCCCTTTTGAGCCCTTTGGATTTCTAGCACAATAGAGAAATCTTGGTGGTGAGGCTTATCTTCAAAGCGATGAGTAAAGTGGAGGATAAGGAGGGGGAGGAGTGGGTTGTTTGGTTCGGAGGCTAAGGATGAATACTGAATTGTCAAAACCTTTTTCTGAACAACATGTTAGGTCCCCACCATGTGACCAAATTTAATAAAAAATAAATCTTCACTTAAACAACTTGTCAGGTCTCCACCATGTGACCAATTTTGACAAAAAAATAAAACTTCGCCTAAACAACTTACGTTCACACCAAGTGACTAATGTTAACAGAAAAAAAAACATATTTGACATTTGAGACCATTGCTACACATTCTTAAAAGTTTTTACACTGTAAAATTTAGTAATGTAATTCAAGTGCAATTCTGAGTACAAATTCAAAGACTATTTCTACAATTTGCTCTTTCATTTTTTCCTTAGCAATTTAAAGGATCGTTTGGTACGTTGGACTGCACTAACTAATCTCTATAGGATAGTATTAATGAAATTCGCTTGTACCGTTGAATTTAGTATGTAAATTTTGTCCAACCGGCTTTTGAATCCTAAAACCACCACATAATGTAAGTGGGAGAGCTTACACTATATAAGGGGTTATCTGCGCCCTGATTTTCAAGCCCATTAATTCTATACTCACCATTTCAATGGCACCTACTCTTGAAGAACAAAAACTCACTGATGAGTGCACTGAACTGCCTCTTTCTCTCCCAAAAGAGAGAGGTTGGAGAACCCTTCACCTCTATCAGTTCCAAGGCTTTTGGTGCCAGTCAGCTGAGATCCAATCCATTATGTCTTTCCAAAAGCACTTCCAAGCTAATGACACTGACATAGTGGTGGCCAGCATTCCAAAATCAGGCACCACATGGCTGAAAGCCTTGGCTTTTGCTGTTTCGAACCGGCACCGTTTCGTTCCAAACTCAAAGAGCCATCCTTTGCTCAACTCAAACCCTCATGATCTTGTGCCTTTCCTTGAGTACAAGCTCTATGCCAACAACCAGCTCCCTGATCTCACCAACATTTCTGAGCCAAGACTCTTTGGAACACACATACCCTTTGCTTCATTGGGAAATTCCATAAAAAATTCTGACGCAAAGATTGTTTATATCTGCAGAAATCCACTTGACACATTTGTCTCCTCTTGGCATTTCCTTAACAAAGTGAAACCAGAATCTGGATCCCCAATCTCCATGGAGGAGGCCTTTGACATGTACTGCAAAGGCATTGTTGGGTTTGGTCCATTTTGGGATCACATGCTTGGGTATTGGAAGGAGAGCTTGCTGAGGCCTAACAAGGTGTTGTTCTTGAAGTATGAGGACATGAAGGAAGATGGTGCCTTTCAGTTGAAAAAAACTGGCAAATTTTTTGGGTTTCCCTTTTACTTTGGAGGAGGAGAGAGGTGGTGTGGTTGAAAACATTGCAAAGCTTTGCTGTTTTGAGAACATGAAGAAATTGGAGGTTAACAAAATTGGGTCTTCTATTGAGAATTTTGAGAATAAAAACCTGTTTAGAAAAGCTGAGGTGGGAGATTGGGTGAACTATTTGTCACCTAAGATGGTGGAGAGGTTGTCCAAAGTCATAGAAGAAAGGTTGGGTGGTTCAGGTTTGGGATTCAAAGTGTTTCCATAGGGGCCCTGCAGTGTTTTTTGGATATTTGTCTGCTTCCTTTTTAGTGAAACCAAAAGGTGGATGCCAAATCTCTGTCTCAAAAAGAAGAGGATTGTGACCTCAATTGTGAAATGTATGCAGTGCAAATCTTTTCATTTGAGTTCAAGACATGCTGTGTGCTTTCCATTCAGATGCAATCATTATCATGCCATTATTGTGGCAAATAATCTAAATTTGAAAGAGATAAAATTGTATTTAGTTGAGTTGATTTGGATTTGGATTTGGGTGATTATCATGTTTCTACTTACAACAAATATATGCGTAAACCTACAGAGCGTTCAATTGGCTAGTGAGTTAATGCGGTTCTAACCAGCGGTTTGGGCTGACAACAATGCCATCTCACTATCAAAAGCTTTCATTTCTAGGTCATCATTACAGGAACATTTTTGAAAAGGAACCATGGCAAAATATATTCTCACTGCGGCAAAACTTGAAAGGAAAACAATTAATAAAGCAGACAAAAAGTCATAGAATAGAACAAAATATGATCAGAGCATTTCAATGAAAGGGAGTAACCACTGACGCCATCACCCACCACACAGAGCTCAATATATATTCTTTCGGATTCGATATTTGAAAAGTGAGAGAAGAAAAAAAAACCAAGGTTGATGCAGCAAATCCCAAAGATTATGCCCCCCAATCAGTAATTAATTAAGGAAGAAATTTCCCCAAGCAATATAATTTAAAAAAAAATACACAAGACACTTCTGTTTAAAAAAACGTTACAGAGCAGAAGCTGAGGGCCATTGCACAAAAGAAAATAAAGGGGCGGCCTTGGGAGGCTGTGGTGGCGGTTAGTTACAGGAAGAAGGTTTTTTAATTTTTGGGTGAAAGGAATATTATGGTGGAAATAAATACATAAAATATAAAATACCATTTTGTCCCCTGCATTTAACAGAAAAATAACAAAATTGACGGTAGGACCATTTGTCCTAATGAAAGTGAAGTTAAAGGACTATGGGCACAATTTTGGAAATTGAGAGACCAAAATGTGAATCGGGTCAAAATTTAGGGACCATTAGACCTGAAAAACCTAAATATAATCTATAATCTATAAGAAAAGTTGCTTAAGGTGGAGCTAGTCAAATACTCATATACGCACTTAAAGCTTTTAAGAAGAAAATTTCATGAGTCATACTTGGGGTTGGTTTTGTTGCGGGTTTGGTCAGTTATCTCTATTGTTTACTTCTTGAAATTACCTGTAGGATGACTAAAAATGCCTAGGGGAGTTGATCATGCCAATTTAAGATTATAATCAATAAACAAAAAATAAACTCCAGTAGCATTGAACATAAAATAAAAGATCACGCAGAGAATTGTTTTATATGGTAAAACCCCACATCTGGGGAAAATCCAAGGGACTTCTCAATCCAACACAAATCCACTATAAAACGATGATTACAATAAGTACTCACACACTTATCCTAGACACATTCTAGATAATGTTTATCAACTTCTTCGTAACCCAACTTCTGTCACGAGATGATCTTCGACACTCCTTATGTTGAACACAATATTGGTCACGATTGCTTCAAACTTGCTGGAGGAAAACTGCCACCACGGTCTTGGTGCCCTCAACTGTATGAGTTACCGACATGCATATGAATGTAATATGAATGATGAAAGGATTTGATAAATCACCAAATAAACAAGGAACACTTGATGACTTATTTGAAAAATATGCACAGCAACTTTCTCTTAAAAATTCAATATGCTCAAAAACCAATATGTCGAAAGCTGTATATTCTCAAAAGAGAGGCACAGTTCTTTTTGTTCAAAACTAATTCTCCCTAGTCAGATGGTGACCTAAGAGTCTACAAACATTCTTTAATTATGACTCTCTAGTTTAATCCAATATGGACTCAAGTCAAAGATGTCAAAACATGGCCATAGATCCTATTCAATTATGTCTATCAAATGTAATCCAATATGGACCACAAATCCTATAGATCCTATTCAATTATGTCTATCAAATGTAATCCAATATAGACTCTAGTGAAGGACGTCAAAATAGGAGACCAAATACTATTCAATTATGAATATTAATTTTGATTCAATATGGACTTTAAGTGATGACACCAAACAATCACTTTTATGAAGAAATAATTATCTCATAAAACAAGTTAATTAGGAGATGAGCACAGTGTACATCACTAGGAAACACAAATATTTTCATATCGATCAAGGCATACTTCGAAGATCTGGGATTGAATTATTGTGCCAAAACGTCCAGCAAACAATATTCACACACTAATTCCCAACTTATACTAGAGTCTAAGGGCCAGTTTGGCATTGCTGTGCTGTGAAAATAATCGCTGTCAGATTTGCTGTGGGAGAAATCAGCTGTGAGAGAAAGCAGTTTGGCGTTTGGTAAATTTTTTATTAAAAATGTTGTTGGTATTGATTTTACGTATAATCAAAAAATGATTGCCGCATAATCATTAAACTCAGCGCCTCTTCGAAACTGATTCCTGCATAATCAGAAAATGAAAGCACCTCATTAGCTGCTTTCCCTTATAGCTTTCTCTCACAGCAATTTTTAACAATAAGTGATTTTCTCACAGTTTACCAAACGGGTTGGGCTTCTCAAAATTTTTAAAAAATCACTTATTACCTCAAATAAGCAATGCCAAACTAGCACTAAGAAATAACAATACAATTTTCATACTAACACTTCTTCCTTTTAATAAATTTCTCCTCGTGCCGTTGGCTCTATTGAAAAAAATAAAAAGTAAAATTTCATGAGTGTCCAAAACATTTGGCACGCAATAACAGTAGTGTCTAATTTTGTTAGTTGTCGGCAGCAACGTATGCAAAAGGTCCTACGACATATGGACCCCTCGTCCTCCAGACACAAGCCTAACATCTGTTTTTCAACATTATCAACAAATTCCATAGGAAGTTGTTACTGGCCCTTCAAAAACAGTTTTCATGCATTTCCTTTTTCTTTTTTTTCATGTTTATTCTCATGCATGATGGGATTTTTTTGGAGTTCTAATAACAATTTACATGGCGAAATGCAAGGGTGAAGCCAACCTTAGACTAAAATGGGCTCCAGATCAATGCAAGGTTCTGGAAATACAGCAATATGGTGTTAATTTTTAGAAAATTCATCTCATTAAAGTGAAAATTACCCCACTTCACCTTTTCAAGAACTGATCCACTACACCTAATCAACTCCGTACACAAAGTTAGTCAGCCACCGACGCATAATAGACACGAGAAAAAAAATTGTAGCCGAGTCCATACACAAAGTTGGTCAGCCACCGACGCATAATAGACACAAAAGAAAAAAAAAAAAAAAAAAAAAAAAAAAAAACCCAGTACCCGTCGTGCAAATTTCCGCATCCACCCTTACAATGGCAGGCTGTATTTGTTGTGAAACTGAAGGGAAAACGACCTGTGTGTGTTTCACGGTATGTTTGTGGACCCAAATAATACCTACGTACCGCAAATAACAAATGGTGCCAAGAAAGAAACCAGAAAGAGACCCACGGGTACCCCGTACTATATGCTATGCATTCACCCAATGCATTAATCGCCTTCCCTTGAGCAAGATATAGTTGTTGCACAATATCCTCCATCACCATGATCAATGCTTTTATTACTTGTATTTTACTTACCTCTCCCACTTTTCTTTTTTCTTTTTTGTTTTGTTTTGTTTTGTTTTGTTTTTTTTGTGCTTTTGGTCTTTGTTGGTCCTTGTAGTTACTAAATTTCTTGTGTACTTATAATGTTCACATTTTCGTCAAACAATGAAGAGTATGGTCGGTTCTGAGTTTTCGAAGGCTCACGGCGAGGTCTAAATTATGCCCTCTATGAACACAATCACCATCGATGGAGAAATAAAAGGAGTTAAAGAGGAAATAGTAGAAACCCCGCTATACAATGAAATGACTGGAACTTACTTAGTATATACACTACTAGAAAAAGGGGCAAAAGCCACAGTTGGCCAAGCCACAGCAGATCAACAGCGGCCATTGGTGATGTATGGCTACGGTTACTGTGCATTAGTTGCTTCTAACATATAAGCCACGGTCAACATATATTTTGAAAATGTATTTATTTTGTTTACTTGTTGTAGCAAAAAACAAGAGAGCAAATGTTTATTGGTATATGAATATATTTTTACTGGTATATGGATTTTATTTTTATTATTAAATTTAAAAAAAATGAAAAAAAGATGGCACTTTGGCCACGGTTGTGGAATCTGTGTCTATATAGAATTTTTTTTTAAATATTATTTTTATATAAAGAAAGAGTTGCATCATCGCTAAAAATAAAGTGCGACCCACCACTTATCGGCCACAAACACCCATTGTCATGGCTGAAATTTAATGGCAACGCCAGCAACTACCCTAATTAGGTGTTCTGTGGCTGATTTGTGGCCAACACTCTTTGAACACGGGTTATTAGTAGTCAACATGAATATAGATCACTAGCTTTCTGTGTCTTATAATGAGATTTTCTAGTAGTGATAAAGGATTATATAGTAACACATGTTTTTATTGTTGGACTAGCAACTCCGCTTACGCCCCAAGCATGATGTTAATGATGTTGGGGTTTGGTGACGAACCTTGTGGCTGTGGAACCATTCCCCTTCTTCAATTCCTCAAAACTAGCTACCAATTGATTTATTTCTTAACAACTAATATCTTTCTATGCTATAGTTTTATAAATTCCTTTTTAATTAACAAAATTGAACTTTTTTAAAAACAGGTTTTCAAAAAATCAGACTCAAAATCTCCCTTTTTTTATACAAATTTACATCCATCAAAATTTTTAATCAAGGAAAATCTTAACAACCCATATAAAAAACGTTGGCTCACGAAAGAAAATGGCCAATGACAGGCATAGGGTTGGGGAGATTAGGAGGCATAGGTCCATTGTCTAGATTTTTTTTTAATAAAAAGAGAGAAGAAAAAAAAACATAATGATTGCTTTAACAATTGAGGGACAGAGAAAGATGTGGACGAGCTGGTGATGAGGGAGGAGAGGTTGAGTTGAGAGAATAATGGCAACAAAGGCGTAGCAAAATGGAGTTGGCATGCGATTAGGAAATGGCAATGTGAAAATAATTGTAAAATACTAGTTGTTTGAATTAACTAAGTTACATTTAGTTTTTAGGGTTTAGATAGGGATCACCATTTGGCCTGCGGCTTGCAGACCAAAGTGGGTAATTTAACAGCCAATGGATTAAAGCCCGATCTAATTAAATGTTTAAGTCTGGTCTGTTTGATGAGCTAAAGTCTGATTTGTTCCGACATTTAGGTCCAATTGACCCAAAACTTAAGCTCAGTCAAACTGGCCTACTCTAAAAATAAGTAGTACATGGCCAAGGGTTCGAACCCTCAGCTCGACCCGCAACTCGGCCCGTCTAGGCCCCGGCCAGAAAAAAGTTAGTTATTTTGAAACAAAATGTTGATGCATTTTAGTTATTTGTTGATGTCGTGCTTAGCTCAATTGAGACAAATATTGATATGTGTACTTCAATTCGTCTTTGGCTTTATTTGGATGAGGGAAAATAACTCAAAATTTAGTTCAAAGTTGGGAATTTAAGAGGAGAAATTGATAATTCCCTTGTTTGGCAACTTAAGTGCGTAATTTATTAAATGAAGCGTGCAAAAAAAAGCATGGAAATTAAAGCATCAAATCCCCGAGTTTAATTTCTACCAAAATAGGCGTCATTTCACAATTTCCATAGTGTCATTTACAAAATTCGACATACATAAATCCAAATATTGAAATCTTCAATTGCCAGAAATTGAAATGATATAGATCTAAATTCTGTCATTTTAGAATTCTATATAATTTTCAATTCCTTTATCCAAACGGAGGGTCAAGAAAATTTCTTGTTACACCAAGTGGATGGAATATTTGGATAAAGGACAATATTTTCAAGGGTTAACTTAGAGGTTAAAATAGCATCTCAAGGATGTGCCAATATAGTGACTTAGGTCAAGACTCCTATAAATATATGATGCTTAAGTCATCAACTACTAGCTCTCTACAAATAACTCATCACAACAAATATCAAACTGATAACAATTTTTATCCTTATATATATTCCACAAAGATTTCATAGGTTTACACGATTGAGGATTGCTTTACAAGTCCTACATACTGGTACCATCTCAGTTGTGATCCTTCTTGATTCGAACTACAATAGTTCAGTCCTAGTTGACAGCTCCACAGCCTGAATAAAGGTTTTTCGTTTCCAAATTACTTAGTTGGCTTTGCTTTCTTTCGTGTTACTTGTTTCTCCATAACAAGAACTGTTATAGTTTCATCTTGTTATTTTCCATTGTAATCACTTTTAGTTTTAATTCAACTCTTATTCTTACTGCACTAGATAAACATTGAAGTCTTTTATTCACTTAGTACATAGAAGAAACCAATTGAGTCCGTTCTCCACTCGTAGTACAATGGCTTGGTTGGAAGTTAGATTTCTTAAGGTGCAAAGTCGTCAATTATTCATCTTGTAGTACTAATGGTGGCGCACTCATAATTTGTACTCGGTCAATTTTTGAAGATGGTGAGTTTTTTTGGTAGGTAGTACTCGGCCAATTTTTGAAGATGGTGAGTTTTTTTTGGTAGGTAGTACATGTTGGCGTGACTTGTGGATATTGACTTACTTTCCTTACACACTAAGAATTCATATTATAATTATAATTGATTTACTTTAATTCTTGATTTCCTATTGTAAATAGATTTAGGAATTTATTATTTACTTGCCCATTCAGGTTTCGTTGTATTATAAATATGACCTCTTACAAGGAGAAAAATACATAGAAAATTCCCATAAACAAATATTCTCTCATAGTTTTCATCAGAGCGGCGATCTTGGAATTACTGACTCTAGTTTCAAACCCCCGCCGCCACTATGGGGGTTGATGATTTTTTCAACCCTCATGGAGGTAGCACCACTGACTCCTTCTCTCCTTCTCAACCAACCATAGCCGAGTTGAGTGCCCAAATGGCTCAGCTCCTACAGATGCAGACTTTGGCCCCGAATTTGATCCTGAATCAGGATCCTATTTTGATGACCTCGAACCCGATCCGGAATCAGGATCCTATTTTGACGACCTCGACCTCGACCCCGACCCCGACCCTGACTCCGATGATGACCACGACCCCGAATTTATCTATGATTCAAACCTCGATCTCGATTTTGCCTCCGACTCCAGCCCCGACTCAAGCTCAGATCTCGATCCGAATTCCTACTCAACCTGTATCATATGCATATTCCGCTGCACAGATTATGACTTCTCGACTAACGACCCCGACACATGGACTAGATTGTGCATATTGTGGTGATCCGAGACACACTCGTGAGACTTGTTTTAAATTGCATGGCTACCCCGATTGGTGGCTACTCTTAAAGATCGAGAACAATGCAATACGACCAGTAATGGTACTGGTTATGAATTCCATACTTCCGATAAGATTGATTCCAGGAGTTGGATAATTTATTCTGGTGCAACTGATCATATGACGTTTGATCATGATGATTTTCCAAATACTACACAACCTCGGCAAACCTGTATTGCAAATGCCAATGGCGTTACTTATCCTGTGACAGGGGCTGGCACTGTTGCACTCTCATCCTCTCTCACACTGTATAATACTTTGCTTGTTCTATCTTTATCCACTAAATTGTTGTCCGTTAGTCAGCTTACTGAACAATTGAATTGTTGTGTACTCATTTACCCGAGTTTTTGTTTGCTTCAGGATATTCACACTAAGGATATTCTTGGTCGTGGTACTAAGAGAGGGGGGCTATATTATGTCGATGACTTCAATCCTGGCGTGGCTAACAGTGTGACGCATCCCTTTGATAGCAAACAAAAGCAAATCTGGTTGTGGCACCGTCGATTGGGACATCCGTCTTTTAGTTATATGAAGCATCTTATACCAAATTTATTCTCAGGTTTCAAGGACTCCGACTTCACATGTGATACTTGTATTTTGGCCAAGAGTCACTGTGTGCCCTACCCGTTGAGTACGAACAAGTGTACTACTCCATTTACGTTAATTCACTCTGATGTCTGGGGACCTTCACTTATCACTGCTCCTTCTGGTGTTCGATGGTTTGTCACATTCATAGATGATTGTACACGGATGACATGGCTTTATTTGCTGAAGAATAAAAACGAAGTGTTTTCCCGTTTTCAGTTCTTCCACAAACAGATGAAAACTCAGTTTAATGCTCAAATCCAGATTCTTTACTCCGACAATGGTGGAGAATTTGTCAATCATAACTTTCAGACTTACTTCCAACAACATGGAATTATCCATGAGACGACTTGTCCTCAGACACCACAACAAAATGGTGTTGCTGAACGAAAGAATCGACATCTTCTTGAAACCGCCCGAGCACTTCTGATTGGCGCTCATGTTCCTCGCCATCACTGGGATGATGCTATTGTCATTGCAGTTCACCTAATCAACCGCATGCCTTCTGGTGTATTGACCTTTAAAACTCCCTTACAGGTGCTTGCGCAACACAAACCTCTGCCCTCTGTTTTGGTACTCACACCTCGAATCTTTGGATGTGTGGCTTTCGTTCATCTCCACAAAAATCAACGTAGCAAACTTGATCCCTGTGCGCTTCGTTGTGTTTTTGTGGGTTATGCCACTCATCAGAAAGGCTACCGTTGTTATCACCCTTCTACCCGACGTACCTATGTCACTTTGAATGTGACCTTTTTGGAATCTGAGCTGTTCTTCCATGACCCATCATCCAATTCTACGCTTCAGGGGGAGATACGAAGTGAAGAGCAGAATTGGAGCAACTTGGAAAACGAAGAAATTCTCCTATGTACAGAAATGATTGATCATCCCGAGTCTGGAGCACAAGATTATTCTCTGCCGAAAAGCGACCAATCGCCATTCATAGCGATCAATTACCTGACCCACCTGATCCATACGAAGATATTTCTGATCCGAGTCTCACACCTACAGACAATACAGAACAACAAGATGAAGACCCCCCCTCTAACTCAACAGTACCAACAGACCAATCTCCTGAGAATATCCTTGAGGTAACTACTCCTACTAGACTTGTGCATTTAGAGGATAAAACTATTGGATATCAATTACCTTTCAGGCAAAATCATGGGAAGCCACCAAACTGCTATTCACTTGATATTGGCAAGACATCCAAGTATCCCATTGCAAATCATATATCCACTAAGAAGCTGTCTGAACCACTCAAGGCTTTTGTGCATTAGTTGTCTGCTATCCATATTCAAATCAAGGTCTCTGAAGTATTGAAAGATCCTAAATGAGTCCAAGCTATAAAAGAGGAGATGAAAGCTCTTGAGAAAAATCAGACTTGGACATTGGAGACTATACCACGAGGAAAAAAGACTATCGAATGTAGATGGGTATTTACTATAAAACACAATGCAGATGGATCTATCAAGCGATACAAGGCAAGACTTGTGGCAAAAGGCTACACACAGACCTATGGTATAGACTATGAAGAAACTTTTGCTCCAGTTGCAAAGTTAAACACCGTCAGAGTCTTATTGTCCCTTGCAGCTAATTTGGATTGGCCACTACACCAGTTTGATGTAAAGAATGCTTTTCTACATGGCAAACTCACGGAGGAGGTGTACATGGACATTCCTCCTGGTTATAATACTACTCAGACTGGAACAGTTTGCAGGTTACGAAAAGCATTGTATGGGTTGAAACAGTCACCACGTGCATGGTTTGGACAGTTCACCATGGCAATGAAGAACAATGGTTTCAAACAATGCAACTTAGATCATACTCTGTTCTTGAAACATTGGAAAGGGAAGGTAACAATATTAATAATTTATGTTGATGATATGATTATTACTGGGAATGATAAACAGGAAATATCACAGCTACAAGATTATCTGGCTATAGAGTTTGAGATGAAGGATCTAGGTGGACTCAAGTATTTCTTGGGAATTGAGGTGGCTCGATCGCAGCAAGGCATATTTCTCTCTCAAAGGAAATATGTCTTGGACTTGTTGACAGACACATGAATGCTAGATTGCAAACCTGCGGACACTCCTATTGTTCAGAATCATCATCTTGGAGAATATCCAGATCAAGTTCCAACTAACAAAGAAAGATACCAAAAGTTAGTGGGAAGATTGATCTATTTGTCACATACTCGACCAGACATTGCTTATGCAGTGAGCGTTGTCAGTCAATTTATGCACTCTCCAAGTGAAGACCACATGAATGCAGTTCTTCGGATACTTAGATATTTGAAGTCTGCACCTGGAAAAGAACTTATGTTCTCAAAGCATGGTCATCTAAATATTGATGGTTATTCAGATGCAGATTGGGCAGGTAATGTAACAGATAGAAAATCCACATCGGGTTACTTCACATTCGTGGGAGGTAATTTGGTGACATGGAGGAGCAAGAAACAGAATGTAGTAGTTTTATCCAGTGCAGAAGCCGAGTTTAGAGGCATGACTAAAGGGATTTGTGAACTTCTTTGGTTAAGAAAGTTGCTTACTGAACTTGGGTATAAACCTACATCTACAATGAATCTCTTTTGTGACAACAAGGTTGCTATAGCCATTGCACAGAATCCGGTTCAGCATGATCGTACTAAACATGTTAAGGTGGATCGACACTTCATCAAACAAAAGCTTGAGGCTAAAGTGTTTCAATTTCCTTTTGTGAAATCCGAGGATCAATTGGCCGATATTTTGACAAAGGCGATTTCCAGTGTAGCATTCCACAATTCACTGGATCAGTTGGGCATTGGCGACATCTATGCACCAACGTGAGGGAGAGTGTTGGCGTGACTTGTGGATATTGACTTACTTTCCTTACACACCAAGAATTCATATTATAATTATAATTGATTTACTTTAATTCTTGATTTCCTATTGTAAATAGATTTAGTAATTTATTATTTACTTGCCCATTCAAGTTTCGTTATATTATAAATATGACCTCTTACAAGGAGAAGAATACATAGAAAATTCCCACAAACAAATATTCTCTCATAGTTTTCATATTTTAGCAGTACATGTGTGGTTTTGGAAAAGAAAAAAAAAGGGGTGACCAGACTCGTGAACTGTATGGCTTTCTGATAACAAAAAGAACGCTATATACTGCATAATCAAGTCGAATCCTTGAAATACCACTCAATCTTGTGCTTTAGAAAGATAGCCACCACTACAATATTGTTGACAGCAATTCATTCTAACCTCAGGAACATGCCATATTCATTGCGAGTGTGCCACTATTAATGCTTTTGGGAGCCTCATCGAATGTGATTGTGTAACTTGTGCACCATGTAATTAATTAATCTAACCTCTAAGTCAACTTAGTGATGAGGTGATCACATAGCAACCAACAAGGAGCAATGTCATCGCCTTATTGGAGGATTAATCCACCTAACTCATTCAAGGCCTGACGTTGCATATGATATAAGTGTTGTTAGTCAATTCATACACGCACCTAGTGTGAATAATAAGAGTTTTGTAGATCATATGTTAAAGTTTTTGAAGTCAATACCTATTAAGGGGTTGATGTTTTCAACATGGACATCTATATGTTGGGTATGAAGATGTAGATTTGGCCTAGATCCATTATTGACGGACAGTCTAAATCAAGGTGTTTTACACTTTTTTGGAGGTAATAACCTAATTACTTGGCATAGAAATATGTTGACAAAAGCTCAAATTCGATAGCACATGATATTTTTAAGTTAGCAAATTTCTTGACTATATAAACTTATCTCAAACCGAGTTGTTCATAGCTCACTTAGCAAGTTGGGCATTTATGATATTTATGCACTAACTTAAGGGACATGAGTTGTAATTAGGGGATTACTCCTAATTTGCTAATTAGTGTAGTTGACCAATTATTGTACAATTTGAACTTTATTTTATTTCTTTTAAATCCTATGTACCTCCTTGTATATATATATATCTACATTTGTATGGACTTCGATGAAAAAATGAAAAAAATAAAACAAACAAACAAACTTATCCGCAGCTTTTAGAGTAGTGCGGTGGCACTCCCTTAATTTGTTTAGGAATGGTTTTCGGTTTGACTTCCCTGGACTGACTTGTTAAACCCCCCAAAATCCACGGGCTCCTATGTTACTTGGTATTCTAATGGTGGATTATTCAAAGTAAGATATTAAAAACGTGGTAGACACAATTAACAAAATCACACGCCAATTAATGATGTGGAATTTTGGATATTGGATTGAAGCTGCAGAATAAACCAGGTTTTCTTACAATTGCGATCATTGATCATCCAAGATTAGTAAATCTCTTATATATAAGATATATTACAACACGTGGTGTAGTTCTTTTCTTTATACAAGTGATAATGAAAGAGGAAATTCAAACATAGAGCATCGAGTGCAAGAGTAATGCTTCTTAATTAACCACTTGAGCTACAAACCTCTTGCACACGTAATATAATTAAGTTACGAATCAAAAGTTGCATTGTACTTAATCAACAGCTCCGGTTCTAGATAGTTTGGAAAAAAAAAATTTAAGAATAAATTATTATATGTTACAAAAATCGATAAGGAAAAAAAGTGTTGTTTTTTTTTTTTTTTTTTTTTTTTTTTTTGTTGATGAAACAAAAACACAAGACATTGCAACTAAAAGCCAGAACGTTTTTCTGATTTCAGGGTTTCTTTACAAATGTAGGCCATTTCCATGTACAATTTTCTTTTCTTGGTACATTAATATTCAATTCAGCCCAATATAATTTTCTTTCCCTGGCACAATAATTAATTAACCCTTGCCTAGCTAAGACCTTAATTAGATCCTGACGAAGAACACACTGAGCTCAGGCCCATTGTTCCCATCAGGATTCATCATGTAATATGTCTCTGAGTCCCTTGACCCTACCACACGTTCGAACTGTGCTCGCATGTACATTAAATCACCCTCTGGCAACTCTGTTTCATTTGGTAAAACCCCGGCTCCCATGGACACTGCATGCAAAACTTGCATCACACTCAGATCATCCTCGGTCGCCTCTCTCCTCACTCCATACCCTGATTTCTTCCCATTGCAGTACAACGACCATATCGGCTCGTCCACGATCTTCGTCTTATCCCCGGGCCTCTTTTCGCATTCTAGCGCTATCCGGACAAGCCCCATTCCCATATCTTGAAGGAGCTTTCCTGTTTGTATCCCGAGCTCAAGGACAAGGATGGGAAGGCATCTAGGGCTTTCCTGGATGACCAGGTTAATCCTAGCTTTACGATACCCAAATAGGGTTCCTGTCATCCGCGTCCCCCCGTGGATGTGTGTGTGTCCTTCCCCCATGCGGCTCCCGTGGAGCGAAACGGGGATCTTGCACGAGGGCGATATGATTGGAAATGACCGGAAAACCGCACGAAAACGCCGGAAGAGTTTTGAAGGTTTTGATGGGCCTTTTTTGGTTGATGGTTGGAGGGAGATAGGCGACGGTGTATGCACCGTCGGCGGCGTAGTTGGTTTGAGCTTTTGAGACGCGGTTGGTAGCGGTGGTGCCGCCATATGAAAATTTGGTGGCAAAAGGAGGGTGGCTTAATGGCTGAGACCGGCAATGCTTGTGAGGACTTCTTGGTGAGAGCTTGGTTGTGGGGATGAGGGTGTATATGAAGAGCAATCTAAGTTTGCGGTGCGCACGTTGGAACTGTTGACTAATTTAATGGGAATTAAGGATATCAGAATGTTTTTTTCTCCCCTTGTTTATAGTGACTTGTGGTTAGGCTTTTAGTTTGGTGGTTTAGCTAAAGATAGATACTTATCTAGCTGTGGTCAGCTTTAGTTTTTTTTTTTTTTTTTTTTTTTTTTTTTTTTTTATTTCTTTTCTTTTTTATTTTATATAGGCTTTGCTACATTATTCTAGAGATATTTTCAAAGCCACTTAGCCCCACTTGAGGCTTTATTGTTGCCTTGCTTACCGGATGAGATGGCTTGAGGGACTTGAGATTTGAGTGTTGTTATTCAACGACAGGTGGAAACGTTTGCCACTAGAAATGAAGTAGTAGGGCTAGAAATAAGCGAAGTATCAGTAACAGAATTAAATCGGTTGCAAACATTTCGTGATATATAAGAATAGATTAAGTACAGTTTATAATGTAATCTTACTATAAAAATGTCTATCAAATTGTGTATGAACTTGAAAAATGCCTTATAATTTGGCGGTTTATGTCGTTAACCCAATTTTTTACTTCGGTTTACATTTTTAAGCACTAATTTAGTGACATGAAAATTTTATTGTATTTGTAATCTTCCTATGCCATGACTATGAGTAATCATTGATTCATGATTTATTAATTACTCACATGTAAACAACTTACGCTAACATTTAAATATATAAATCTAATTCTAACTAAACGATTGTAAATCAAGCGGGAAGTGGTTTGAGTAATGCAACTCATTAATGCAAATTGTAAAACAAATGGTCAATAGCATTGTTTTTTTTTCTCTTTAAATAAATTAAATGTAAGAGAAAAAAAGAACTTTGATTTTGACAAAACATGTTCAATATTTCCCTTTATTTCTCCTTTAATTTTAAATTGTCACACAATTTATAAAAGTGACTTGAAAAATATTTCCAGCTAACCAGCCGTCCACGCCAGTTGACTTTTGATCTTGCAAATTGACTGTGAACATATTTTACTTAATTTTCTTTTTCATACGTTTAAATTATAAAATTATTTTAAATGACATATTGTCTTGCTCCACATCTTTTGGATTTCGTGGACTGGTGGCGGAGCCACTCCCAGGCCTAGAGTGGCTCTGACCCCCTCCCATATTTTATCTCTCCTCTATTATATTATATAAAACATATAGATTTTATAATTTGACTAAATTATAAATATTTAGCTTTAAATATGTAATTATTGAATACTTAGGTGTTTTATATACTTGTATTTTCTACTTCGGCCCTCTTAACTTTACAATTCTAACTCCGGCCATCAATTAAAAGTCAGCTAGCTCGACAAGTACTTCTTCAAATGGGATCATAGTGCCACAAGAAATCACCCATTTTTTTAATGTTATTTTTGGTATCAAGTGCATATTAAAATCTTTTCATTAATTAGTTATTGATGTTAAGGAAAAGCATATTGTAGGAATTTAAAAGATATACAGTGTGCTGAGATTGAAAGGAGTTCTTTTGTCTTTTTAGGTTTTTTCTTTTAATTCTTTCCCTTGAACTTGAAAATTGATTAATAATAATAAGAAAATAGTACACAAATATATCACATGAATCATGAAAATAACGGTACAATTCCAAACACTAACTAAACAAACATACACAAAGTTAGGGTTGAAACAAGTGTGTTTTTGTTTTGTCATCCAGTATAACTCATTGAAATGTTATAATATAAGTGAATATTTATTGATATTATGCTTTAAAAGTGAGAAATACCAACCCATGTCCTCCACCCAACCACTGACGCACTAGCTGCACCTTCTCTCACGGGAAAAACCAATGTAGATGCGTCAAGTTGCCCCTTTACACGCTCAAACTGGTGGTGATACACTCCAAGTGTTCAACATAATGCCTCAGACTTCGAGAGCGGCTGCAGATCAAGGTTGTGGAGCCCTTGAGGAAGGCCTCAACCTCTGAAATAACACTTGAAGCTCCCAAGTCCAACAGGTCATTGGGTGTTTGAGGAAGTCGTTGCTTGGCTTGGGTATATTTGGAAGACTTGAAAGACAGCAATCCATGGGCTTTCAACAATATGGCTAGGCCTACATTTCGTGGGCTTTAATGGTTTTCTTTTTTTTTTCTTCTTTTTTTTTTCTTTTTTTTTTTTGGAAGGTTTTCTTTCTTATTTAAACCATTATTATTATTATTATTATTATTATTGAATGAGCTTTTCTTTTTTTGTTGGAAAGTTTTCTTTCTTATTTAAACAAGGATTATTATTTTTTTCAATAATTTGCTAAAAAACTCCAATGGAATTCCGGCCAATTGCACCCAACTATATTCCAATATCCATACCAATAGTTTCTCGGAGGCTTCCATCATGCACGAGGTTCCAAAGGGGGAAAATATGGACGGTGAGATCACTCGACAGTAGGCAGGTAGCTAAGGACGCTAAGGGTGTGCAAGTGGTACCAGCGCACAGGGCCCCTAATTTTTGGGGGCCCCCGAATTTTTTTATGTGTACATATATATGGAATTTGGCCCCCATTTGCAATTGGGTCCCCGAACTTTTTTTTTTAGGTAATTAGGTTGTCCAACTCTCTCATCCGTTCTAATTGAGTCCTTCCGTCAATTTGGCTGTTAATTTGAGGGCTAAAACCGTCCATTGCATTAAAATATTTTAAATTTAAAAAATTGAAGAAAAAAACTACAAAAAGTGATAAATAAATAAACTTAAAAATAAATAATAAAAATCCAATTCCCTCCCTCTCTTTCGTTCAGTCTCTCCCTGGCCTTTGGAGGTGTAGCAGCAGCTTCCAGAATCCTCCCAGGACCTACAAAGGTCGGTCTGGTACAGAATCTTCCCCGGAGAATCCGAAGAAGAAGAAGATGACAACAGATCAGAAGCAGACATTGAGCTCCTTCCTCCTCTGGTGACTGAAACACCATCCATGACCAGAACCTCCTCCCTCTGCACCCCTCTCACATGCTTTCTATAAACTATCGAAGGCGGTGACCTCTCCATCAGATTCTCCAAAGGCGAGAGCTGCGAGAGGTGGCAACGATGCTGCTTCAAGGCATCCATCGATGATTGACTCTGAGATTGAGCGCACAAGTACCTGAACAATGGCGAGTTGAGGTCCACATTCTCCAAGTTTCCTTTTAGCAGTTTCGCCATTTTCGAGTTGCTGTGAAAACCTTCCATCAATATGCTATGCTCTACTTTGCGCACAAACAATTAGATTACATTTCCAAAAAAACAAAGCTTCCGAGAAAATTCAGATGATAAAAATCGTTTATAGTTTCTGAATTGTACCAAATACAATCACCGAATTAGGTTTTGGATGAAAATTGTAGAGGAAGAAGAGTTAATCCAAATCCCTCTCTTTTTCGTTCTGTCTCTCCCTCTCTCTCGCGACCCATTCCCCCCTCTTTCGCTTTGGGACAGTGCATACGGCGGTTGTGGCTCTGGCGGTGTGTTTGTGTTGTCAGGTTGGGTTTCAGAGCAATGAGGCTTGTAGGAATTGTCAGTGCACAAATGGGTTCTACAGATTTCACAGACCTTTGAATTCATAGCATGGTTTTTTCTCTTTTTGGGGTTAAATTATTTTATGTGGTTTCTACCACTCACAAACTGTTTGATATGGATTTGTATTGTAAATTTGTGAAGATGGAGGTGGGGTTGTTAGGGTTGATGATGGATGAAGAAGGTGGAATTGGGGTCAATGATGGATGAAGAACCCGAAAGGATGCTTTTACTCTCTCACTTTGACAAATAAATTGACAAAGTTGGATTGTAGGACCCAATTGGAACTATTTATCGAGTTAATGAATGTAATTGCCTCAAAAAAAAGTTCACGGACCAATTGCAACTAGGGGCCAAGTGCAGGGACGTCTACAGTAGATAACCCTATATATATTGTACATATAATGAGCACACAAATCGTTGGCACAAGGACATTTAGAGTTATGTTGGTTTGCGGGACCTCAACTTCTATTCAAGGCGTGGCTTCAAAACCTGCTTGTACATCATAATTTTAGTTTTTTTTTTATATTTTTTTTTTGTAACAACAATTAATAATAATAATAATAAAAGCCAAACATGTTATTTTCTTTAAGTAATCATCATCACCAACATCTCTCTTTAGCTCTCTTTTTCAATCATTTGACATTTTTTTTTTCAATTTCAATGATTTCACACCAATATTGACCAAAAAAAATTAATAAATGTCACTCAAAATCAAATAGTCAAATTTGCATCTCAATTCAAATTCAAGTATGTATCTAAATTTCAATGTATATATACTAAATGACTTAGTTCATTATCATGTTGATTGGTTATATAATGAAGGTTTAATTGTCAAAATGGTCCTTGTGTTTTACCTCATTGGCCAATTTAATCGCCGTGTTATCAATTTGGCTAATTTAGTCCCTATGTTTGTATATGTTAGCAAATGTGATCCTTTTCGTTAAAATTTTGTTAAAACTGAAAAAAAAATTAAATTGATTAGAAATATTCAAATTCAAATAATAATAAAAACTAAAAACTATTAAAAGCCATGTTCTTACATTTTGTAGCAAAGAAAGTTATTGAGTCAATCCTAACATTTGCCTTCCCAAATTTCACGCTCATACCTCAACCACCTCCTAAATTCATAGCCACTCTCACTACACCCACTTAAACCCCAAAAAGTACACATTGTGTGTTGGTGGTGGAGAAGGAAGATGCTTGAAGCAAGAAAATATGATTGACTCAATAACTTTCTTGGCTACAGAATGCAAGAACATGGCTTTAAATAATTAAGTTTTTATTATTATTTGAATTTGAATATTTCTAATCAATTTAAAATTTTTTTTCTTCAATTTCAAGAAAAATTTTACGAAAAGGACCACATTTGCTAAAATATACAAACACATGGACTAAATTGGTCAAATTGATAATAGGGGGACTAAATTGGCTGATGAAGTAAAACACAGGGACCATTTCGATATTTAAGCCTATAATGAAATATGATTTTATTTGTGATTTACATGATTTTTACTTTTTTTAAATAAAAAAAATTATTGTATGGCATTACATAATAGTGTGAGTTTTGTATTAGCTTATGCGATGTCTCAGTTTAAGTTTTACACAGGGCCTTCAAAATCTCAATATCAGCCCTGTAGGTAACTTTAGTACTAACACAAGGCGTACAAGGAACTTCAAACAAAAGAAAAACCTTTTTGTTTTGTTTGTTTTTGTTTTTGAGATTAGGAAAGTCAATGTTTGAAGTAGCAAATTCTATTATATAGAAACGAAAAGATAAAGGTATAGAAAACGTCCTCTACTTGACTATAGAATAATTTGTACGCATGTCGGGGGGGTCTGAAGTCAATGTCGACAAAATTCGAAGATGTCCTGCTTGCTATTTTGACTACGATTGTTAACTTAAACGATTATTTTAATAAAAGATATTTTTAACTGCAATGGTTCTTGAAAAGTTTTATTTTGGTCCTTCAACTAGTTTTGGAGTCATTTTCGTCATTCCAATCTTACACATGTTCTAATTAAGTTATTCCGTTAAATTCCATCAATTATTGTCTATTTTTTCAGGGTTAAACTGTCATTTTATATACAATTTTTTTATGGTGCTTTTGGCAAGTGGCGGCGGTAGGGCGAGGTGGGTGATCGGCGGCGAGTGGAGTCGGTAGGGTGGTAGTTTTCGGATTGGGGTTGCTAGGGTTTGTTTTTTTATTTTTCTTAACATTAAATGTTGGTGGGGGAAACTTGAGATCTCATGAGGAAAATTTTGATGAAGGGAACTTTACAAAACTATGCTAGATTTTAAAACCAAAATTGTTTGACTTAACAAAAAAAAATCTTTCAAATATCGAGCTGTATGTAACTGTGTATCTACCTTTCTCGTCAAGTGACATGTCTTCATATATCGAGTTTTATATAACTGTGTATCCATCTCTCATGTAATTACAGATAGAGACGCATGTAATATACGATGAAAATAAACAAACCAAACAGATCACCATACACTGGAGGAGGCATGTCAGTCTTGAAACTATAAAATTATAACGTAGAAGCGCTAGCTTTCACTAAGGAAAGAGTAATTCCATGTCTATGACAAGCTACATAATCAAATTCACTCATTCACATGTCGATCAAAACTGAGCTCAACGGATGCAGCAATCTTTCAACATTGCACACTAACTAGATGGGATTATATGTACAAGCAAAGTAATTGAATGCTCTAACAGCAATATCACCAAAAGTTCTTTCACCACTGAAGATTTGCCATCAAGCCATTCTTTGAAGGGCCGTTTAGTACCCAGTTGTAGACTCGAACTCGATCATCGGAGCCTTCCTCTTCCCACCGGCATTACACACAGAGAAACTTTTGTGTATTTGATGATCTGTTTCGGCATGCATGCTTCTTTCACCAAGTATTGGCACTTCAGCATCATGTGGTACAAATGAGAGGAGATGTGAATGGGAGATTTGTGGCCGATAGCCCTTGTCAGTTTGCTGCCCAGTCACTCCACTGGCTTCTCGTTTGGGGTCTAACGGTGCACCTCCAGAAAGAGGTTGCGCACTAAAGTCCATCTCATTGAACATGAGGTTTGCAATGGCTCTGTCAATGGTGTTTGTCTCTGATTCTGTTCCTTTATTGCTCCCTGACCTGAATATGAAATTTATTTTTCTGATCAAGAGATCCTGAGTGCCAACAAGAAGGACAAGGACGCAGCAGAAACATTAACAAACTAAACCGCAAGCCAAAGTAAGAACACACATTGCACATAAGATTCATTGCCCAAACAAGTGCCTAACGCCCAGTTTGGCGTGGTCAATATTGCAACTACAAGCTAATGTAGGAATGCCCCAGGAGTACTTCAAAGCAATACAAGGGCAAAGATGAGAACTTCAAATTTGGAGAACAAGATACTTTTTTGGTAATAAGTGCGTAAAGCATAAAAGAATCCTCCCCTGCCAAAAGTAACATCATAGCTACTCTTGCAATCAAAAAGTTCAGGGCTATCAGTTTTAGCTAACTTTACCACTGTCAGCAATGAAGATTTCACCCAAAAAATCTACCACAAATTACCCTATCACCAATGTGAAACCAGTGGCTTTTAAATTGACAATCACAACTCAGCAATGCCATTTTTCGTACATGATAACATGATGAGATTGTTAACATCAAATGGATTAAACTCTAAAGAGACCGAAGGTAAATGCAGCAAGTATCGCAAATATACCTGATAGTTTCATCCTGAGCTGTCCATGAAGAGGGTTCTTCAATTTCACTCGCTTGGTCTCCATCTTGGCTCTGTGTAGCGAGATTTCCTTTTGAGTTGTTGGCAAGGCGGTATAAGGCATCGCGAAAGCAAATTCGTGTCTTTTCATTCAACTGATAATTCAACAACAGAGTAAGATTCCATAACCAATAATGAATGTGAAGGATATGTTTCACAACATGCGCTGTATTCTACTTTCAAGATCTAAGTTTACCTGTGTCATCACCATTTCCAGATCATGCAATACCGATTCTTCAACTGATGTTTCCTCACCCAGAAGTCCATTCATGCTGCCTTGCTCAGGTGGGGCAAAGACGCTTTCTGCCTGCATCATTAAAAAGAAATACATAGATAAGATATAAGCTTGAAAGTCAAGAAGCTATAAGACATAAGAAGTCAAGGAAACTACTACTACAGCAATGTTACAGATATTAGTAAATGAAAGTCAAGAAACTAGCACTACAAATCAACTTCAATAACAGACCCCAGCAACCTTCTGTAAGGGTCTCTGTTTGTTTTATAAAAAACAAATTAGTAGGAGGAGAAAAAAAAGCCACTTTTCCTTTTCTTGCCTTGCAAAAGAGCCCAGACATAGAGAGCAGTGATAAGTAATTTAAGTATACGACGACCATACTATCCCTCTGCAAATGGAAAAGTATTTTTCATTTAAATCAAGTAAAAGTTTTTCTTCAAAATAAAAGAAGGAAACGATACTGAGGGCCCGGTTTTTAACATTCTGTTTTTCTTTTCATTTGAACAGAGAGTAGAGAGAAAGTTAAAAGAGTGACTAGAGAAGAGAAGAGAGGAAGTACATAAAAGAGCTTTAAGAAGTTTAAAATTAAAGAAGATAAAAGTTTAAAATTTTAATTGACAAAATTTTGATATTTGCAGAATGCTAATGGATACGATAACATGATAACTTAGAAAAACCTATAACTCAAACAAGATTCATAATAAACAAACAAAACCATACGTACAAAAACATTTTAGGCATAAAATAGTTGTTGAAATCAAGGAAAATATAAAGAACTCCAGACCTAGGCTTATTGTCTATTTCAACCAATAAAATCACTGGCATATAAAAAATCTCAAAAACATCAACCTTGCTATAGTATTAAATAAAACAAATAACACAGAACAACATTGGAGACCAAGTAGTTGGTATCAAGTTTCTGTGAGTCAGATACTATCATAGAGCCACCCACTAGCTGCTAAAGATACTTTCCCACAAATAGGGCAAATTACAGTCTATCGCATCTTAAATGACCCACTGTGACCTATGTCTCCAAAAGTAATTAGAAACAGTGATTAATATTTTATAAGGCCACAGCACCAGATCAGATTCAGGACATCAAACTGTTCAAGTTATTGTATTAAAGGTTGATGAAACTGTTCCCTGAAGATGAACTGCTTGGGATAATTTACTAAATAGTCTCCATGAACGTAGTCAGAAAGATCTTTGACTGAATAAAATCGGGTTTTTGAAAGGTTTATAAGATTAAAAAGAGACCATCTTACAATCAAATAAAACTACATAGAAACCATCTTTCACATGAAACTATATAGAGACCATGGCAATAGCTATTTAGATACCCTTCTTCAACATATACATACAATCACACTGCTAGTAACCCAAGCATGTCAGAAGACAGCTGTCCCAGGCGAAGAATTAGGCAAGCTACCATGCCCTCTGGCCAATTTCAAACTTAATGCAAATAAAATCTCACCTTTACTGATGGGCAAGCTTTTTGCTCTGAGTTGCATTGAATATACTGTGAAGTAGTGGCATGCCCCTTCTCTGAACCCACCGCTGGTGAAAACGCATGATTTTTAAGATACTTTGAGCTTCCTGCACTATGTGCACTGCTCGAGAAACTTTGTGATTCCAAACTCATGCTTGTTGAGATATTATCAGTGGGCAACAAGCCACTGGAATCAGGACAAAAATAGAATGACTTGTGTACATTTTCTGCCCCAGGAAGATCATCAAGTAAGGAACTCCTGCATTAAGGAAAAGCCAGAAGATGAGAAACCAAACACAAGCAAAAATACGGTGACATTTGATTAAAGTAAAGCACATAGAATTTAGGCATATTGGAAATCATATGGATATTGAATGGCTCTATTGCATCACCAGTGATAAAATTTTGATCTTTTAAAATAGGACCAAAAACAAAATAGGATGTTACAAAGAAAGGGGGTATAGAATCAGTTTGTTACTATGCTTTTCAACTGTTGACTATCATGCAGCCGATGCCATCTTCTGTAATGGCATCAACCCCAAGATAACCTACTGCAGAATATGACATGAAAACACAATGGAGCAATTCAATTTCCATTGGATTTCCTATGATGCCACAATTGATCTTGACAAATTAAGGCAGTTAAGAAACTACATGGTTTCCTACAGGCACTAAATCAAGTATCTTAATCCCAGAGGTTACGCTTGTACAAGAAAATGTCATCCATCTGTTCAAGTCCTGCTAGGTCTTCAAGCTGATTATTGGTTCGATTCAATGAATGTGTGGTCTGCTGAAGAGAGTCCTCGGAAAATCCTTCACATACACTTGAACTGCTAGATAGATCTTTTTCATTAACAGAAGTTTCCATCTCCATGTCATCAAATAAACTGCTACCATTATAGTTGAGCTCTTTAGTGAATTGTGGATATATAGAAAAGCATTTATTAGTGGGCTGAAAACATTCGGAAGCACTGATTCCCCATTTCGACCAACTGTCTGGAGATGGAAGCCTGTCCGATCCTCCATCATTTGGAACAACAACGTCATCCATGCCACTCCCGTAATACCACTCCATGATACTTGTTCTGAAATAAGAAACAAGAAATGTTATAAACAAGCATAAAATGGGTAATTATGACAACAGGAAATTCTGATATTTACAGATTTTGAGAACTTATGGATATTAGGACTGGTCATCAAGAAATCAGAAGAAGCAAAATAAAGGGAAAAAGTCCTATATTCCCCCGTCATGGTGGTTCTCCTAGTCATATACTTCAAGTCTTGTACGATTACTTAATCACTACACAGGAATTTGCCATTTGCAGTTATTTTAAATAACAAAGCAACAAAATTACCTACAAAATCTCTGTTTTGTTAACTCCTACATCCTCAGTTTTCTTGGTAATCAAACAGAGACCTAGATGTGTTGATTACTGCGCTCTAGTGGTGGAATATTTCAAGAAGTAGACCCACCTTGTAAAACTAAAAGTTGTTTTTTGGGATAGATTACTTCCGAGATTAGTTCAGCAACTTCTAAAAGAAGAAGAAGATGATGATTATGGTGATTAAAAATCTAACCAAAATAACAAGAGTTCAAAATTTGTTCCAGATCTGGTAAATACAAAAAGGTAAACTAGAAGCAGGACAAAAAAAAACTCCAATAATTTTATTTGATATGGAAGGATTTGATTATAAAACCATTTAACATCTCTAATCTCTTTGATTTCAAATACTGACTACATCTTAAATATTCTCCAATTCCGTTTAAAAGTTTGAATTTCATTTCTTTTCATACACATCCACAGCATCTGGAGATACAACTTTATCAAATTAAGAAATATTCAGCATACAAGCAACTTTATCATCAAACATACAAGAACAGCTGTGAATAACAAGGTCAACCAAAACATCAAAAACCAGAAAATCTAATAAAGACCAAGACTTTACACAACTAAGAGAAGAACCATGTTCTCCATCAGCCATCTGAACACAAACATGTACTAAATAAGCAAAACTAATGAAAGAACATTACCTTGTGATGGATTATTTGAGAAAATGAAGACGACCCAGCTGCTGATTCAGAGAAGTAAGTCAGCACAGATGAAGAAATGCAATATAGAAGGCTAAAATCTTTGATGGGTTTTGTTCAAGTCGAAGTTGGAGTCCTTGAGATGCCCACTGTGTGTTTCAGCTGGACAACAAATGAGGCGGCCGTAGATTTTTGGTGGTCAGGTTTTTTTATATAATTTATTGCTTTTAGAAAATTATTCCAAATAAAGCAACTTGTAGATAGAGAACAAGATAGAAATAGAGCTACAGAGGCAGAGAGAGAGAGAGAGAGAGGAAAGAGCTGGTTGCTATGATTTCTTGTGGCTGAGAATGGGAGAGTGAGATTAGTGGTTGAGGAGGGCTCCATCTAAAACTGCCCTCTCATTGAGCCAGGTGTCCGAATCTGGTCCCACAAGAGAGAAATCAGATTTATTACTTGGTTGAAAATTGCGCTCGGGATGCCGTGACCATCTAATATTTCATTTCCACAAATGCCCCCATATTCTTTAATTAATTTGGCCCCTCGCAGAGTCACGGGGGGCGAGATACGTGGTCTAATTGGTCTTTTCACATGTCAAGCGCTGTAAAGGCTTTCACGTTCGAGGGTCCCGCATAGATTTCCACGCCATATACATGGCTGGTATGCTTGGGCTGGCTTGACACATGGCTTAATATGCTTGGAGTTGAATGACACGTGGCTTCAACGGAGAGAACCGAAGGAGTTGCTAGCTGTGTGGACAAAAAAAGGTGTAGCTTGGTTTTATTTGGGGGGAATTGGGATAAGATGTAGTCGGATACAGACTACGAGACGATTTAGAGCCACAAGATTCCTGGTACCAAGATAGCTCTAAATTAGACAGTTAAAATTTAAATTAAAAAGGGGATAAACAATTTTGGAAATGCCTTCTATTTTGGGCCAATTTGTGGGACTTTTAAATTGATTTTAGGATTTAATCCAAAAGAATTATTGATTTAAGATAACATTTATCATTAGAGACAAATTATTATTTACGTGTATATAAAAATAATTTATCAACATTCCAAAAGAAGAGGTTCAGTACACATGTCAAATAGTAATTGATCAGTACGAAGAAATGTTTAGTACATGTACGACTTTTCTTAAGATCTCTTTTATCTTCTCTCTCATTTTCCTAATTCTTCTCTTCCCTGTCTTAATTTCAGACTATGTCTTTATGCTTCAACTACTAATACTGCCATGAAGCCTTACATGTTTGAGATATTTAGTCATATTCTCATCCTTTAGCACTAAATGATATAGATAAACTTTATACCATTTAATTTCTATAAATAAACCCAAAAAATGACAAATGTCCCTATTTAATTTAATTTTGATTATTAAATTACTTTGATGCCATATTGAGTACTTTGGGTTTTTTTTAAATGAGATTTTAGAGTTAGGCTTGTTTTAAGAAATCAATGACAATTTTGTAATTTATAAGAAATCAATGGTGTTTCTAAAGTCCATTATATATATATATATATAATAATCTGGGCTCCTATATTGGGTATAATAGTCAATCTCTCTATATGTTTCATGTGCAAATGGAACTAAGCACCAATATATGTTTCCAGTGTAACATTAATCTAGTACAACCATCACTTTTTCAGTTTTCTTTTCTTCTCCAAGTTTTGCTTTTAAGTACCGATTAGATATTTGTATCTACATCCCTTGTCCCTATTTTTTGGGCTGCATTATGATTGTTGCATTGTTCCTTTTTTACTATGTTTCTAATTCTACATACTAAACAAAAACAACTTAACACGTCTCTAATATTACAAAGGACTCGTAACTAAAGTAGTTAAAAGTAGTTATCATATACTTGAGATTATGTGACCTCTCCCCTAATATCATGTATATATATATATATATATATATATATATATATTTTAAGGTTCTTAGATTTAGGTCAAAAACGATTACCTGTCATAGGGTTTAGTCCACGCGTTTTTTTTGTTTTAGATGTAGGTCCTTTGATTTTTATTACTTTTTTTGTTGTGTTGATTTTTCCCTTTGAGATAAATAAGGAAAATACATTGAAAATATAAATTTAATTCATTATTTCCTTATAATTGAATTTCAGAATTTGAATTTTGAATTATTTCCTTCATAATATTTACCTAATATATGGATAAAATACAATTTAATTAATGAAAGTAAAGACCCACATATTATATTTCAAGCATCGACATGAAATTATGTAATAGTGTTATTATTAGAAACAAAAGAAAACTTAGTGATAAATCTTGTTACTTGTAAGTCAGGAACATAAATTAGAAGACTACCTACAAATTAGGAACATAAATTAGAAGACTACCAATACTCCATATACAAAAATAGATAAATAAAATTTTATGTTACCTGTAAAATAAAAGAGGTACATAAAATACTATTATATGTTGTCGAAAATATGTTAAAATTGTTTCCTAAACTCATATACATGAACTAAAACTGCTAGATTTTATGTATATAAGTCCATAACCTTTCACACAACCTAAAATACATAGAAGACATACATGGCGCCATCTTCCTTGAGTACACGATCTCTGAACTCATTCAATTGCAATAGCAACAACTTTGGCAAAAGACACAAAAGGCTCAAGACTTCTACTCTCTCTCAGAAACTATTTCAGCTCTCTCTTTATGATGAGATTAGGTTTAGAGAACATATCTTATGAGAACAGGGTCTTAAGCTTATGTAGAGCTAGGTCAATTCGTCTCTACTCATCACCAAGGGCCGACTTGACTAACACTCTAAGCCCATCAAGCAATGGTTCACGTAAAAAGAAATAAATAAAAACCCCTTTAATTGGATTTAAAACTTTCTTTATTTCACAAAGTTTTGGGCCACAAGATATAACCTAATTTAAACTCCTATCAAACCTGATATAACTTAGTATTGAGTGCACCGATCTAAATAGGAATATAACAAAACACCTACGATACACCAAGTTGAGAACATAGAAACATATATACATTACTTTACCTACACAATAGGGTAAACTTAGGTGCCTACAACAAATGTCATAAGCATAAAAAAATAAAAAAATTTATAAATTTATAAATAAAAAAAACTTGTATAAAAAAACTAGATCAAGAAAGAAAATATGATATACCTATTCTGATGACAAATAAGAAAACTCAACAATTAGAATTTTTTTTAGTATTAGTACAACCCAAAATTCAAGAATACAACCTATAATGAAAAAGGATTGAGATCAAGAAAATAACAAAATTCAACCTAACGAAAAATAAAAACTAAAAAAGAATAATGAGATAATAGTAAGAAATTGAATTACCAAACAAGAAAAAATGTCACCACTAGCACCAGTGGCAAGTATGTTAATGTACCTAATATGTAGGTTGCAAGAAAAAGATCTCGTAAACTCTAGCCTCCTTCTCTCTCTCACCCTCTTTGCGTTGTGTGTTCTGGGAGAGAGGTAGGAGGTCAATCCTCCTCCTCCTCCTTTCTCTCTCTCTCTCCTCTCTCTCTCTCTCTCTCTCTCTCTCTCTCTCTCTCTCTCTCTCTCTCTCTCTCACCCTCTTTGCGTTGTGTGCTTAGATCTGTTTTGGATCTTGGATTTTTTTTACCAAGATCTACTTGGATCTTTGATTTTGTTGGTTGGCTTTTCGTTAAAAGGTAAGTGACTGCAATCTAGGTGGTGGTCTCTGTCTGAAAGGCGACGACGATGGTTGTGGTGGTGGCTTTATTCGTTTTTGGTTATTGTTTGTTTGCAGTTTTTTTATTTTGCAAAAATTGCATCAACTCCTCGTGAGTTGGGTGTTTGATTGTTTATAGTCTCTACTTGTATTATGTACTTGTGAGAGTTTAAAAGTTGCAGTTGTATTACGTAGATTTGGAGGCTATGATTCATGTCTACTTTGCTCATGCATGCAACTTTTATGCCGAAATTTCTCTAGCCTTTTATGGCATGTATCTGGATGAACCCTCTGTGGTTACTATGCTTTCATATTTGTATTACCCCTTTGTGGATATTTGCCCTTGT